AATATTATTTTGACTTTATATTATTACTATTCACTGTGTTGAATAGCCATTCAATTTTACTATCAAGTTTATTAGAGTGAATCGTCATATATTCAATATCGTCAATCGTCAATATTTGGTGACTTTTGATATCAATTTCAAAATTTGACTTATCATGTATTGTTATTTTTATAAGAAACCCTTCGAGTGATTTTACTATTACCTGGCGATTGTTGGTAAATTAATTGTCGTAAGAAATGCAAATCGTAGGCTTAAAGAATTGAAAAAAAATTCTCATAAAATTAATTTGAAGTTGTTTTGTGTATCCTGTTTGAGCTAAATATTAAGTTTATTATTGAAAGCTATTGATATTTACAAAAAATACAATTTAACACAATATTATTGAATTTTTGCATTGTAAGTCGTTATTCATCAACTGTTAAGTTCAATTATAAAGTGATAATTGTATTTTAATGCACAAAATGTTAATGGAAATGTGAATCAATAACCCTTTGAATTTCTCTCTGTTATACTTTTCTCTTAGGATGCGGAATGATGATGCCTCCAAAGCCAACTTTTATCCCAATTCCAGTTCCTTACATGGTTCCTGATGAGCCTAAAGAACCTCCTCCTCCACCTCCAAGTGGAGGCGGACAGAAAAAGTGTTGTCCAGTTATGCAAATATATCAAAAGAAAGTACCAAAAGTTATGATGAACTCGCCTCCTCCTGCACCTTCACCAACGCCAGTTCAAGTTATGATTATACCGTAAGCATTACCAAAGTGTTGCAATAAAACCTCTTATAATGCAAATTTTTCACTGAAATGGGTTAATGAATTTAGACAGTTAATTTTAGACTTAAATTTCAAGTAAGGAAATGAATTAAGTATAACAATTAATTTATTTCATTACGTTATCAGAGGTTTTAATAGCTAATTGTAAGTCTTACAATAATTTTAATGAAAATATCTTTTGTCTTCCTTTTTTTAAAGAGTTCCAAGGTAAGTTTATTTATTGTCTTTTAATGTTTATTTTACTAATCCTTTTTTTGGTGATTACCTCCACTAGTCCGACTCCTATTCATGTTCCCACTCCTTCCCCTGTCCCAGTTCCAATGCCTATTCCTATTCCATCTCCTGTACCTTCACCTGCCCCTCATCCAGTTCCTTCTCCTCACCCAATCCACATTCCTTCACCTATGCCTATGCCAATGCCTATGCCAATGCCGATGCCAATTCCCATGCCAATGCCTCCAAGTGGATGGTCAAACCCTCCGCCAGGTCCACAGGCTAAAAGTTGGGACACACCATCTCCAATGCCTGCTCCATCTGGTTGGAGTTCACCTGCCCCATCACCTCCTCCTCCACCTCCACCTCCAGCTCCTGCTCCGATGCAAAAACACACACCGAGTTGGTCGCCTATGCCAATGTCCCCACCACCACCTCCACCTCAAATGGTTCACATGGGTTGGTCTACACCAGTTTCACCTCCGATGATGATGACCACCAGTTGGCCAGCTCCACCTCCAGTACCGATGCCAAGTTGGGGACAGACTCCGGCTCCTATGGCAATGAATTCAGGATGGGGACAGCCAGCTCCTTCTCCACCGTCACATACCTCAGTCGTGATTGAAGCAGGATGGAATCCACCCGCTCCACCGCCTTCACCACCACCATCCTCTTGGGGACCAGCTAAGCCAGTCTCGATTTCAATACCAATGCCGGCTCCAGCAATGGGCTGGATGACACCAACACCGCAAATGATGCACAATCCTTCTTCAGATGGATGGGATTCCGGACCGACAACAGCTCTTGCCTGGAAAGCAGCAAGTGTCATTAGGCCGATATTTGTCGATGAATGGTATTAGAACCAAGACCTTCTAAATGCGTTATTTTTTTGCTTCGTCCATGGACTGATTTCCGTCTGATTTTAACTTTCTTCGAAGATTCGTTAGTGTCCTGAAAATTTAGCAACTTATCCAGTTGACTTATATTCATTGATCTAGCAATTCATCTTAAATTTTGATGGATGAATGAGTCATGAAAGTATAATCAGTGATGACATTAATAATGAACTTTAATGACTAATGAATTATGATGGGATTAATGAACTTTATAAATAGTTTAATGACTCCAAAACTAATCAACAAATGTTTGATCTCACGTTTCTGTAATCGATAAGAAAAACAATCGAAAATTTATCTAAATTGTTGAATTAATTCGTTTTTGAATTAGTTAATTTAATTGTAATTTATTGACTTATTTTATTATATTCTCGACTATTTGATGAAGTTGATTAAATATTGAAGAAAAAAGTACAAGCTGATTTAAAAGACCCGCTATAAACTCTTCGAAGATTTTTGGTGGAGCTGATAGCTCTGTATGCTTTGTTTATTAATTGTTTGAGACAAGCAAAACAAGTAATCTTAATCAACTAGCAGTTGTTGATTTCAATTTAGTTTTTTTCTATTAAAACCAATTAAGTAGATTTTATTTGGTTAAGGTGTTGTCCAAATCAATCTGTTGTCAATTTTTACCATATCATTGTTTTTTGTTACCAGCAGTAAGCAAAGTGTCCTAAAATCGTTTCTCTTGCTCTGTTTGTGCTTGTTTGAATGAGTTATTTGTTAAATCAATCAGGATCCAAATTACTACCTTCAACAAGGTGTAACCTGTTCATCTTCAATCATCGTCATCTTCCTACTTATTTCATTTCTACAAAATTTGATCAACATTTTTCAAATTGATCTCACTCAAAAGTATAGAGTTTTTTCTGTGTCATATCTTTCTCAGCTGTAATATTGAGCAGCTCTCCATCTTTACTACGCAAAAATCGTTTCGGGTAAAATGAGCCGTAGTATCGACGTAAATCAAGTTAATGATAGTGATCCGTCCAGCAAATCTAACGGTAAAAACAATGGAGGTAAAGTGCGGCAATTGAAAACTGTGTGTTTAACTACAAGTAGTGATCCTGGAGATAGACTAGTTTTGGTTGTTGATGATACAAGATTCGTAATTGATAAAACGTCATTTGTTTTGTACCCTGATACGCTATTGGGAAGAATGTTTGGTCCAAGAGTCGCATCTGGTGCATCTTCCATCACCCGGCCTAATGATAAGGGTGAATTTGAAGTTGCGGAAGGAATTACATCTCATTGTTTCAGAGCCATTCTTGTAAGCTTTAATTCAAGAGTTTAGATACTCTTGTTTTTTATTTTTATTTTACTTATCTATTATTTTCTATCTATTTACAGGAATATTATAAATCCGGTGTTATCCATTGTCCACCAAGTGTTCCTATTACCGAATTGCGTGAGGCCTGTGATTATCTATTGATACCCTTTGATGCAACTACAATTAAATGCCAAAATCTCGGTATGAATTCCAGAAAATCTTTAATTAACCTGAGTCCGTTCAACCTGAGTCCGTTCTTCTGTTGATTTTCTAATTCCTTTTCTTTCTTTTATCAGGTGGCTTGTTACACGAAATCAGTAATGAAGGCGCTAAATGCCAATTTGAGTATTTCCTGGAACAACATATATTCCCTGCTATGGTCGCATCAGCTCAGGTCTGGAATATTCTACATTCTTGAACACAAGAATAAAAAATAAAAGTTATTAACTAATATAAATAATTCAAGAGATATAAATACTAAAAATTAATGAGATTGACTCTCGTCATAGATTATATTTAGTTCCTTATTTTTGCTTGTTTTTATTTTGAACGCTTCTTTAATCTAGTCCTTATCACAGATCTGATGATTGATAACATGAATTCTAACCGTTTTACTATTGATTTCTTTTCAGCGAGGAGAAAGAGAATGTCACATTGCTGTTCTTACTGATGATGATGTCGTTGATTGGGATGATGAGTTCCCTCCTCAAACAGGACAAGAGCATTGTCAAAGTAAGTATTTTACAAATTATTTTTTGATGACTGTGACAGTTACTTACTGATAGATTTGACAGGTAAAATCTGAAAATGTCTAGTGAATATGCATGAAGCCAGTTAGATACTTGATTCTTGGAAGACTAATTATCCAATAATAGTTAATAAGAGATTGTTTGTAATGAAATTGATGAATGAAGATAACTAATGAATTTTTTTTAATTTCAGTAATCTACAATTCTGCGTTATATCGCTTCTTCAAATACATTGAAAATCGAGATGTTGCTAAGCAAATTTTACGTGATCGAGGATTAAAAAAGATTCGTCTCGGAATTGAAGGTTTGTATCTTAAAGCTAAACCTCAATGTTAGTTAATTGACGCAATTTCACTCATCTTATCAACTTTCTCATAGGTTTTCCTACACATGAAGAGAAAAGACGCCGACGACCAGGAGCTCGACCAGAGGTTATCTACAATTATGTTCAACGACCTTTTGTTCGCATGTCATGGGAAAAAGAAGAAGCCAAGTCAAGACATGTCGATTTCCAATGTGTCAAATCAAAATCGATCACCAATCTTGCCAATGTAGATGGTGTAGAAGGATCAAACGACGATAATGCTTCAAATAGTAGCTCATGATAATTATGTTCTTTATGGTCTACAAATGGTAACACGAAGCTGCGAGAAAAGCTTGAATGCACAAAAAAATCTGTCTTTCACAGTATCTTTGAATGTATACCCGATTGTTTACTGATTTTCCTGTTACACAAGATCAGCAAACGAATGATGGATCTGCCTCTTTCCTGCAATTTACCATATTTATCATATGGAAGGCTATCTGTACTACGTTTCTGACCTTTTCGATCTCCTTTTTTTCTACTCATTTATTACAAGGCTCAATTTATTACTGAATCGACATCGATTTAAATACCAAAGGAATGTTGATGGTATGATTTAACTGTTGTAGAGTTTAGAGATGACTTATGATATTGTTTTTACCCTGAGGAAGTTGAACTAACTTTCCTTTATATTGAATTGAAAATTGTGATTGTTTGATAATAAAATGCTCATCAATTGAGCAATATTCAAAATTTACTTGGTTTCTCATCGGTTTTACAAAATAAATTTATGATGCTGATGACTTTTTGTCTTTAAACTTGACTCTTTAAGGGTACAACAATTGCTCTTTAAATGTATATTACTGTGGATTAGTTTTACTTTTTCCGGCGATCTTCTTGTGATTTATGTAAATTGAGCAAACTGAGTTGTTTTATGAGTCTTCAAATAGTCCAGGTTGATTAGCATTAATTGGTTTCAAGTTTGTCAATGTACAACTTGTCAATGAAGAACTGCTATCAGAAATATTATTGTAATAAATTGTTTCACAGAACACAAGAGTAAAACAATTACGATCTTCACTGCATTTGGAAGCACAGTGTTCTAGTGATAAATGGTCAAAGGTTGCAACAGTTGATTCTTTCATGTTATCTTTCAATGCAAGTCCAACTTTATATTCATAATCAAGTTCAGATTTTTCTGTAAAAAGTAAAAAGATTGTAAAATTAGTAAATATTCACAAATGAATATTAGATTAAGGTAAATGTTTTTACTTGAATAATGGGAACATCCAGCTTCAGCCGACTTCCAGTTTGTTGCAGTTATTTGGTGAGATTTATCAATCTTAATGTGTTCAGCATGTAATAAACAAACAGATTCATTTCTGGAAGGAATTCGGATAAAAAATAAAATGAAAATTCATTAGACCCATTCATATAAATGCACAATAATACAAGTTAAGTAGTGCGATGAAACTTATATCAACACTTCTTTCATTGATTAGTGATTTTAACCATTCATGGTTTGCATTCAAGCTCATTTTTCATGGAAGATGTTAAAAATTTCGTTCTAATCCAAGTTTTGACTTACTGTTGCTTATTGTCTTTGCAATAATCAAATGATTCACAACTGAAATCATTTGATTGAGCATATCTTTTAGCACAATCAGCTATTGGTACATCAGATATGGTTGAAATGGCATCCAGAACTAGACTTTTTCCAGGATAATCATGGAATAGACTCGTTTAGTTAGCGAAGCAGCCAATCTTTGAAGTTCATTATATTTTCTATTCGATTCCTTCGTTTCAATGTCTTGGAGATGAGCTTTTATAAGGTTATTTGTTTCCTTGATAAGATTATCATTGGACATAACATTGATCTGTTTGAGTAAATCGTCTGGAGTTGAATTGAATTTACCCTCTTCTGGTCTTAATTCAATTGGAAACATTTCATTATTCAAAATGAATTGTTCAATTAGATACTTAACCCGTTCGGTTCCATTCATGACAAAATAATCCGTTTTTTGTAATGCATTTAGTTGTTTATCCAACACTTCAAGACTTTTTGCTTTTAAAGTAAACAAATGCCGTTGATTTTGACTTAAATTTTCCAGAGATTTCTTGGGCTCTTCAACCATTTTAACAGTGTTTTCTATCCTTGAATGTAGAAACGAAGCGACCAATGGAGCACTGTAGTTATCAGCAATTTTTCGAAGTAAAACGCCATCCTCTAATGGAACTGGTTTGGCTAGGAATTGATCTGAAACACCAGAAAATATTAAGCTTTTTGTTCCCAAAAATTTCTATGCTAATGATGATAGTTAATACTTACTTTGTAAACAAACGAGTATGACACTAACGTGCGATAGCACTTCTTTCATTGTTTAGTGATTTTAAATTAACCATTCATGGTTTGCATTTAAGCTTATTTTTCATGTAAGATGTTGAAAATTTCGTTTACATTATCAAAAAATATTACGATTTTCAAGCCTCATATTTAGTTAGCGTGGTTTTTACCGAGTAATTAAATATTTTATAAGGTTAAAATTGCCCAAAACTTTTCCTGAATTGCAGGGAAAATAACTCCTATTCATTAGTTGCTCATTCTGCCGTTAGGTTAGGTTAGGTGAACTCAACCAGTTTTGTCTTCAGTCAGTCATTTTTGCAGATGCAAGCTAAAATGGCTTATGACAATTATTTGTAGATTAGTTTAGTTTGATTTATTAATTTTATTATTTATTTTATTTAATTAATTTACGTTAATCACCGAAAATCCAACCGTCCAGTACAATTGGCTGTTATTTAATAATCATCACTTAAAGATAAAGTCAATTTTTCACATACCATAAGGTGAGTTTTCAACTTTCTTACAACATCTGTGTTTCTCTTTAGTTTTTTGTTGATTTTGGATTTAAGTTCTAAGATTATCTTGCTGCATTATTGTCTTGTCCTTAATTAATATCAGCATCAATCCAATCTAAACGAAATACTCAATAATTCTCCTTTTTTTGTTCATTTTTCTGTAGTTCTAAGTCATAATTTCGCATCTCAATTCAAGATCTCTAAGATCAACTATTCAAATTCAAACCACCGATGAGCCTGATCTTTTACAACGTTAATGGATCATCTTTAATGAAGTCATAATTACCATAGGACAATAAGCTTTTCGCTGTGATACTTTATTCTAAGTTTTTTTGACTCATCCATTGTTAGAAAAGACTTCATCATGTTTAAGGCTTACAGATGTATAGTGATAAATATATTTTTGCTCCAACTATTTTTTTATGTCTCCTGTTATAAGAGAGATTTATCACTTGAAGCGGAACAAAAACAGTTGGACGACGCAATAAATAAGACTGGTCTTGGGTTCGAGTATTTAAATTATGAAAACTTAACAAAATTCGTTCATCTCTTGGAATTACGTTTTCCCGGTTTGGTTAAAGTTTATAGTGTTGGTACCAGTTTGGAGAAACGTGAACTATGGGCTATGAAAATAACAAATACCCACAAAAGACCTCTTGGTAAACCAATGTTCAAATATGTTGCTAACATGCATGGCGATGAGACTGTTGGAAGGCAAATGCTGATTCGATTAGCTTGGCATTTAGTGTCCAATTACGACAAGAATACAAGGATAACTCACATTGTTGATACGATCGAAACTCATCTTTTATTCTCAATGAATCCTGATGGTTTTGAAAGAGCCAAGCTTGGTGACTGTGATGGCATTAGTAAGAATAGTGGACGGGAAAATTCTAACGGTGTTGATCTCAATCGTGACTTTCCAGGTAAAAAATATTAAAGTCTTCTTTAAATGTATTTTAGTTAGGTTTTTGTCAACTTTCTCTCAAATACATTTCCCGATTATTTACCTTTTGTTATTTCCGCTTGTCAGCTTTTTTAAATTCAAACACTTTTTTACTTTACAGATCAATTCAGCGACCCACCTAAAGGATCCGTCTCGGTTGACGAAGTAGCTAGAGGAAGGCAACCTGAAACTGTAGCTGTAATGGCTTGGATTGTCAGTAATCCATTTGTACTTTCTGCAAATCTTCATGGAGGTTCAGTGGTTGCAAGTTATCCTTTTGACTCTTCACCAAGTCACAAAGAAACTGGTGAAATAAGTCTATCTCCTGATAATAATGTTTTCACCCACCTCGCTTCTCTTTATGCGTCTCATCATGAAACCATGAAAACTGGCCAAGTTTGTAAAGATGATGACTTTATTAACGGAACAACTAATGGTGCTTTTTGGTTTGATGTTCCAGGTAACCTTTAATAATGTTTACGAAATCTGCTAAAAAATCAATAACTTCATACCATTACTAGCTTCAATTTTTACAAATCAGATGAAAACATATTGCTAACTTTATTATTTTATCTATTCAGGTGGTATTACGTTTGGAGTAATTGTTACGAGATAACATTAGAACTATCTTGTTGTAAATATCCACCAGCCTCACAATTACCTAGTGAATGGAACTTAAATCAAGAATCATTGTTGACATTTATGGAGCAGGTAATTAAAATCGATTGAAGTATCTCTTATTGCAATTATACGTCTAAATTGATTTGATTGATATTAAAGCATTGCCAATTATCTTTCTCTTATCCAGACTCATATGGGAATCAAAGGTTTGATCAAAAATGCAGTAACAAATAAACCTGTTGAACGAGCCTTCGTTAAGATTCAAGGAATTGACCATAATGTAACCACAAATGCAAGAGGAGAGTTCTGGAGATTAGCTGTTGATGGAATTTATAATATCACTGTTGAAGCTTATGGTTATCAACCTAAAACTCTAACTGGAATTGAAATTAGAAATGATCAAAATTTGGTAAATAACTCCGCCAAATGGATAAAAGTTGAATTGGAACCTACATCTAATAACGCCGATGTCTCAGCAAACAGTGTTGTTGAAAGTGACATAGTTGACATTGATTCGAGACGTCCATCAAAACCAATCAATTCTACATTTCCTGAAGATTTTGTTACACCTTATAGATTTGTTCATCACAATTACACTGAAATGACAAAGTTTCTACACCATTTTGCCTACAAATATCCAACTTTAACACGTCTTTACAGTATTGGTAAAAGTGTTGAAGGAAGAGAACTTTGGGTTCTTGAAATCACCGACAATCCTGGAGTTCATGAACCAGGTGAACCTGAATTTAAATACATTGCTAATATTCATGGTAATGAAGTTGTTGGAAAAGAACTCATGCTTCCATTGATACAAAAGCTACTAGAAAACTATGAAAAAGATCCTAAAATCAAAAATCTTGTTGACAATATACGTATACACATTTTACCATCTCTCAATCCTGATGGTTACGAAAGATCGATTGAAGGGGATTGTGAATCTTTACAAGGACGTGAAAATGCCAACCAACAGGATTTGAATAGAAATTTTCCTGATCAGTTCAAGCCTTTTGTGAAAGTGCATTATCAACCAGAAACTGAAGCTGTTATGCATTGGATCCAGAGTTATCCTTTTGTTTTATCAGCCAGCTTACACGGTGGCTCATTAGTAGCTAATTATCCATATGACGGCAACCTTGAAGAAAAAGATCATGTTTACAGTAAAAGTCCTGATGATGATGTTTTTAAACACCTTGCATTGCTTTATTCTTATAAACACAAAACCATGTCTGATGGCCACCCTTGCAAAGGACAATGTGGTCCTGCGCTTGAATTTTTCGAGAATGGTGTCACTAACGGAGCTAGTTGGTACATTTTGTATGGAGGTATGCAAGACTTCAACTATATCACCACCAATTGTTTTGAGATTACATTAGAATTAGGCTGTCAGAAATTTCCTTATGCCTCTGATCTTCCTCGCTATTGGGACGATAATCGAGTTGCTTTGATCGCCTTTATGGAAGAAGTACTTAGAGGAATAAAAGGTTTCGTTATTGACTCAGATAGTGCAAAACCAATTCCAAAAGCTACAATTCATATTGAGGGCATTAACCATGATGTAAAATCAGCAGAAGATGGTGATTATTGGAGGTTACTAACACCAGGACATTATACTATTACAGTATCTGCTGATGGGTAAGTCTATTGGTAAATAACTTTTCTAGTTGTGCTATTAATTAACTGTAATTTAATGTTTATCTTTCAGGTATGAAAGTAAAAGTGTTTCAGTCGATGTCAGTGAAGGATGGGCTTCAGTAGTCAATGTAACTCTAACAAAACCAAATCATAAAGTCAAGGGAAAGCCATTACCGATCAATTTAAGTAAAGAAGTTTTCGGCAAAACAGTGGACACAAGTGGCAATCCAATATCAGGAGCTCTAATAAAAGTCTTAAATGATGAATCCAAAGTTGTTATGAGCAATGATGATGGCAAATTTAAAATTCCATATTCAGAAGGAAGTTATACTTTTTTAGTCGAAGCACCAGGATATTTTAACACAACGAAATTGGTTGTTTTCAGGAATGGACAAAACAGTGAAGTGATTATCGACTTAATAAGAGACAATCGAATATTTGGTTTTCCTCGATCTGTTTTCGTTATAGTTTGTGGATCGTTTATTTTGTCATTATTGATTACAATCATGTGTGCCTATAACTTTGCCTTATCAAAAAAGTATGATAAATATAAGTTCCAAAGGCTAGGAGAATCTACCAGCCTCTTTGATGACGATGATAGTGGATTCAAAAACGGTGCAGATGCAAGGGAATTCATTGACGCAACCAGTGAAACTGATTCTGAAGACGAACTTTATAATGTTCATCTATGGAAAGAAAAAGATCGTGCTTCTTAAATGGACTGCGAAACTAAAATAGCAATAACTATTGAAAAACATATTTAAATATTGTTGAATACTTTTAAAGCAAAAAAACGGTTTATTAAGCTGTGATAAAGATAATTTGTAATGATTTGATTACAAAATCAGCAGTTACACCAGTTTACAACCGGCGTATCCTCTGAATTTTCATCTTTAATAAAATACGAAAAGAGTTTATTCGTTTGGTGTTTCTCAGTTATTTGATTTCACTTTATTAAACAAGGAGAATGAAATTTCAAGTCTCACCTTGATGATCCTATCAAGATCAGAAAAGACTGCCAGTCAATTCACTTGATCATAATAATTTTACTGATTCAAACTAAATATCCGTTGTTTTAATATTCATATATCAAAAATTGTGCAGTTCTCACTTAGTTTCGGAACTAAATCAGAATGTTGCTATTTAACAATGTTTTAAAAGATTTTATTTTTCCTAACCCGATTTCATTGAAAACATTATTATTGTTAATTTTGTGTAAATACAAGGTCGAGTAAGCACTCAACTAATTAGTTATGTTTCAAAATCTCGCGTAATTGCACCTGCTTGTTCATTAAAATATGAGCTAAATGGTTTATAATTTACAAATACTTACAAGTACTTAACACCTATAAGTTCAAAGTGCCATATTTTTCAAAATCAATAAATTTTAGCATTTCGTGTCAGTTTTAACCTTTGATGTTGACCATCCTCGAGGCCATTTAACGTCCAACATTTAGCTTGAGAGTCACAAATCAACTCATTTTTATACTATTTATAAATGGTAATGATCAACAGTCAGTCTGATATTGAACAATTTTGATTATGATCTGTGGATTTAATTAATAATCCAAGAATACAATTGTTCTTATTTGATTTTGAATAAGAAATAGCAAATGATTTTATAAGCTAAATTGTAAATTTATATTCAACAATTTTGGTTAACTTTGAAACAATGATAAAGGGTAAATCATGTTAAAATTGGTTTTGTAAAGTTGTTAATCGAAATCAATTCAAGATTGATTCTCAAAAATACATCAAATTTCTAAAGGTTCAACCGATAACCACATGTAAATCAGTCTAAAGCTACCGAAACTTTTCAATAAAGCTGTTAAAATCTCTGATTTTATATCAATTCTCAATAACAATCTTCTATTGCAATTTAAGTATTAAAGGCTTCATTACAATATGAAAATTTATGTGTTGCTGGAACCAAAAGCTTCATGTTTTGAATCCAAGGATAATCCTGTTTTTATCACTAAAAAGTAAGATTGATTGTAAAAATAACGATTAGATTTCATTAGAAATCATAGTTTACGCTTAATAGTTCATTTCATTTCATCTACTTGTGATATTAAAACTGCTAAGATTCATGAAATTGAAATATTCACGAGATTGCTTGAGCTTGACCAGATTTGAACGGTTTTAGATTCCGTTTGGGTTAATTAAATTTGGGTTGAGTTCAACTTAAAGATCATAATGGACAACAGTATCTGGAATAGTTTCAATGTTATGATATTAAGATTCTGGGTTTCTGGGTTTCATGGTTAACTACATAAGTCAAAATTGTTATTTCAACCTCATCCCTTTAAAAAACTTGTTTTCCTTTGACTTTGTTTTCTCCCTCATCTCTCTCCCTCTCTCCCAAGTCAGTCTCTTTCTTTTCTTGTTCGCTCAACATCAACCTCTTGTGTTAACAGCCATTAAGCTGGTTGTGAATTTACTATAGCTGTATGTCCAAAGATGTTAGCTATTTGTCACTTTAAAAAATATTATCAATTGACTGCTTATTGTTTATAATGAAAACTTCAACCATCAGCCTTAATTAAAGCCATTGTCACTCAATTAACTCTTCCTTAGTTCTAATGAGGTAAGTAATTTGTTTGCTTTTTTGTTCTATCTCATGTTTTCCCTCCAGGTGGACATATAATTGTCATTTTCATCATTTAATCTTTATTTGTCTAATGTCAATATTCAATTGAAGTTTAATTTTTCGATTAGTTAACTCTGTATTGTCTTGTTTTCCAGGAAGATCAACCGGAGTAGAGAAACAAGCGAGTTTACAAAGACTGACCATTACTGCTAAAGGGTGGAGTGGAATATTTTACTAGAGGACCAAAAATGGATTATTTTAATAACAATTATCTCAACTTTACTCAATTTATTACACGATCAACTAACCGTCTACACATCTGTGATCCTAAAAGTGGGCTGATTAATGAGCCATTATTTCAATTAGCCAATGGTTTGATTTTTGTATCTTACATGGCATCGACCAGCCTGGCTGGTTTACTGTTTATGCGATGTTGTCTCGTCATTGGTTCACTTTGCCTAGCTCTATGGGCTTACATTAACGTCTGTTCAATTGATACAGTCCTTTGGAATCTATTATTTTTCATGGCTCATGCTGTTTATATATTTATTCTAGTATACAAGTTACATCCATTCATCAAATTTCCTCGCGATGTTGAATTGGTTTACAGGTAATTATCAATTTGTGTTTTTCTCTCTATTTGAGTTTTACCAGATGTTGCTTTCACGATTACACTAGACAGTATGTACTAATATTTATTGATGTCTGAAGTGTTCATTATGGTGATTTATCTCTTTCAAACAATAACTTTTCGAGTGTTTGATGAAAGTAATGCTTAGAAAACATTAGAAATAATCAGTCTACCCACAATGAGAAAAGTAATTGAAACAACTAATTTGTGCCTACAATTTGATTAAAGATCAACAACATTGCCAGAGATTTGTGTAGGTTAATTCACTTTTCAAGATTATGAAAATGAGGAAGTATGTTTGATCTGTTTTTCTGATTATCAGTTGTTCCACTTTTATGCCATCATGATCCATATAAGCATGCTTTGCTTGAAACCTTTTATGCAAAATCACCAGTTAGTCTTATTATTTTCTTTTATCGATCGATTCAATCTAACTGAAAAATGAATCCGAACTGGAATAATTAAGATTAGGATTTGTAGCAATATCAATGTAAAATCGTGAATGGCACTAGTCAATTCCTACAATAAATCATTTATTACCAAAATATCCGACTAATTCATTTTCTGTTTCCTTTCTCCTTGAACAGGGATCTATTTCAACCATTAAAAGTTTCTCGTCACTCATTCAATAAGTTATTTAAATCCATCCGAGAGATGCAAGTTCTTAAAGCTCATGACATCTATTGCGTTGAAGGTAAAACTCCTGTTGACAAGTTATCATTATTGGTTTCTGGGCGACTGGCAGTTCTTAAAAACGGACGTGCTCTCCATTTAATTGACGGACACCAGTTTATTGATTCACCTGAATGGTTTGGTGTTAGTTCCAGTGATGCTTATCAAGTTACAATTGTTGCCTTGGAAGAGTGTCGTCTCATTGTTTGGCACAGAGACAAACTTAAGTTAATAATTTCAGGCGACAATTACTTACAGACTTTAATGGACAGCGTTTTAGGTCGAGATGTGGTAAAAAAGCTTCTTTTTGTTACGGATACAATTAGTAATAACTTCAATATTGATCAACAGCTCAATGAAAACTCAAAGCTCATCATGCCAATTCACCGAGCCATGGATCATGTTGTTAAAAGAGAGATTCACGGTAATTGTTCAATTATTACTCTAATTTTAACAGTTTCACTTCTATTATGCCTCAGCAACTAACCAACCATGACTCTCTTTCACCCAAGTTTGGTCTGGATGTAAAGGGTGTAACGCGTAAAAAGTGAAGATTATTTTAATTTGATAAGAATGAAGATGAAGAAGACACTGATAAGAATGTCCAGTTTTTTACAACTCTCTAGCTGTTCAATCTTTCCATTCAACTTGAATGTTTAAAGACTCAAATTGAGGAACTTCACTTTTTACGCGTTACACCCTTTAGAAGTTTCTTCTTCACTTGTCTTGACAAAACCGCTTACTATTGCATTCAATTCATGTCATAATACCTCATCACCATCCTCATCCTTTTACAACTCTCTAGCTGTTCAATCTTTCCATTCAACTTGAATGTTTAAAGACTCAAATTGAGGAAGAAAATCCAGACTATCAAAGGAAATAATGAGAGTCATGTAAATGATAAGCCCACAAAAGTTAATGTTTACTCACTCAAGACCGTTAACTTGCACTACTAGCCTTTATTTATTTATCAATGTTTAATCTTTCCTATTATTTATTTATTTCAGACAATGGGACTCATTGTTTTTGGACTCTCTCTAAAATCACTGAAGACTCGGAGACCAACGTTTAACAAAAATAACTTCATCTTACCGATTGAATCTTGAAGTGCCAATGAGTCAGTAAATGCCAATTTTCAAGCTAAGGATATAACTTCATTGCACTGCCTACAGAAAATGGTTATTTTCAACTTTATCCTATGCTTAAAATAGAACCAATCAGGGTAGATCCTTTTTTCACGGATTTTTGCTTTTGACGGTCTAAATTATCTTCCTGGAATCATTTCGTATTCACCTTTAACACAATGATTTCAAAGAGCGACTCATTGTCATCACATTTTATCAGACCAAATGATCTCATTTTTACTGATATTGCCTTTTGAATACAATTTCTGTAATTCAAATCAACCAATTGATATTGCTCTCTATCTAACATTTTACATGACCATTTCTACAAAAACCTTTCTAAATTGCGTAAATTCCTTTATTTTCATCATGATTTTCTAATTGTACCTGAGTCTCAACTTTTTCGATTTCTCAACCTGATCTAATTTATAAAAATCATGGTGGTAAAAAATGAAGGCGCAATTTGCACGAATGACCAATCTCATCTAATCATTGTTAATTGCTAATCTCTTCAACTCTAAATCTGAGCTTTGAAAATTGTATAATAAAATAATAAAACTAATCAAATGTTCATACAACAAGAAATCAAATCTGTTTCAACCAACTACTCATTATCATTTTTTTTTCAAATAAGAAACACTTGATGTGGCTTTAAGCAAAAGTAAAATTACTTTCTTTTTTCTTTATCTGAATGTAATAAGTGATGATTTTTAATATGAAATAAAATGATTGAGTTATATTAAAAACAGGTTTCAATCAATCAAATAATGACCAAAGGCTTAAACAAATTAGATCATCTCAATGAACTATTGTTATGTCAATATTTAGGTTTTAAACTCACAAGGCAGGAATTAGCTGTTTTTTGGGTTTGTTGAACAAAAACTGGACTCTGCTATGGAAACCAAGTAAACATGTAAACACAAAATGGGTTCAACAAGGTAATTATAATAAGTTTTAAGATTATCGGTTTTTAATGATAACCTAATATTAACCCAATGTTAATTCAAAAAAATGAGTAGGAAAACTGTCTGGGATCTTGGAATTGAGCTGGGACATAATCGAAGCCAAACAGTAGCTAAACGAAGCCTACTTTTCCTTGGGTCAAAACAATCAGTAAGAATTTTTTTGAAATCTTTTCAGCTCTTGTCTAATTGTATTTGATCACCACAATAAAGGGCAAAACAAGCATCATTCATCGTTTTCTGGACAAAAAAGATGAACCAAAACCAACATTGGCCTTAGACTATTCATACACGCGATCAGATCAATCTGAGGTAAGTCTCTTTGTTGTTTGTTTGATCTTGTAACTGTGTTTTATAAATTTTATTATAAGAATCAACAATGTGATGTTTGGGAATTAGGAGAAGCAACTTATCTCCTCAAATTATTACCATTTGTACTGAAAGAAGAACAATTAAAGTGAGTAAAATCTAAGCCTGGTCAAACATTTAAATTCAATCTATTTTTTGTATCACAGATCAATGGCTATTATTTTGGTTCTAGATTTAAGCAAACCCCATGAGCTGGTTCCTATTACGGAATGCCTTCTAAACACAATATCAATGAGAATCTCGCCGTTTATGAAGAAACATTCAGAGGATCGTCGTTCATCAATTAGCAAAAATAAATCTGAACGCCGAAGTAGCATGATAAAGAAGCTTCTTCCTGATATAACAATTCCCATAATTATCATGGCAAACAAATACGATCTTTTACAAGTAAGAAATTTAAAATGTTAACATTAATTGCAAATCGACTTTAAATTTCACTTTCTATTGTCCTTTTAGGAGATGGAACCAGAAGATCTTAAATTAATCAGTAAATATCTTTGCAGCCTTTGTCAATCACAAGGCTGTTCATTGATATATACAAGTATCAAAAGAGATCAATTAGTCAGCAGGATAAGATTGCTATTGAAAAAGCATGGTTTCAATGAACAAACTGAATTCCCTGAAGCTCGGTTTGATTATACAAAACCCATTTGGATGCCGAGTGAATCCGATCCTTCCAACTTATTAGATGGTGATTCATTGGAAATGTTGAAAAACATGATGATTAAAAGGTGGAAGCCAATTGAAATTGAACTGAAATTACCAGATGACCCAGCTAAAGATGATAATTTTAAGGAGCGAGATATTGACATAATAAGATCACAAAGATATCAGGTAAGATAATTGCGTGCCAATTCTCATCTAACTCATTTTCACTCTTTGATTTTTTAGGAGCTTGAAAATTATCGTCACCATATGGATCATAAAACTGATTAGCTTTGACACAAAAATTAAATAAATTGCTATTTATTGTGGAGATATCTTTGCTTATTTGTTATTTAAAATAATGGAATGAAAATATTGATAATTATATTTATCAGTTTTGTTGCCGTTCTTTTAACTAGGTCTTTTGATTGATTTTTATGAAGACAGGACTGCAAATTGAAGATTCCAATGTCCATTTTCAAAGAATTTAAATTCTTCGAGTGAACATCATTAAATATCCCATAAAAAGAGATGGTGTTTAACGAGCATATATTTAACATCTTCCTTACGTTAGATACTTGAGACTTTGATATAAAATTTCACAAGGAACTAAGAACACGGGCCAATTCATCTAAACGAAAGGTTCGAGTAAGCACCTCAATCAATTGCGGTCCAATCAATCAAGATGCGGAAACAAAAGAAAGAAGTGGAAAAGAGTGGAAGATTTGTTGAGGAACCCAAGAAGTAAGCATAGAAGTCGTATGATTCATAAAATAACAAATAACAATAATCATTTAATCGTTCGCTATCCAAATCATCATAATTCAAACATTTCATCTTGTTGTTGCTCTAATCTTTTTAACGAAGACATGACCTTCCTTCCTTGGGTCATAACTAATGATTGAGGCAATTCATTTGAACTTTCATTAGCAGCAGCTCGAAGGCCACTGTAAGAGACCGCACCATTACCTGTTGAATTTTGTCTCTTTAAGTAGCTAGTAGACGAGGATACATTTGATCTTGTCTGTTGACCTAAACTTGTTCTAAAAAGGTCATCATCTGAGTATGTATTTGTGAGTCTGGACCCTTGTCTCATAATAGAATTGACTTGGTTCTTTGATTTGGCAATATAGCAATCTATACGAATTAGAAAATCAGCCACACTTTCTTCTTTGCTATCATCTGAGTCCAATGTACAATTTCCATCATATCCATTAGAAGTCTGACTAGCTTCATAGACATTTTCTTTCCTTTTCTTATCCTTTTTTCTCGATTTACTGTTGCTATTCCTCCTGGGTCCGGATGTTGAAGCGTTAGATGACGAAGATGATGATGAGGCTGTTGATTGTGTTGATGCTTCATTGTTTTCCTCTTCTAAAAATACATCATCGCAGCGTATTTCACTCATCCCATCAGTAAAAGCATATGATCTATTTGTTTCATTATTTTCTGTGCTTCTTGAAGTAATGTTTCCATTGTTAAATACAAGTGATGATGGCGAAGATAGAGATGAAGATGATGAAGTACCATTGTCCAATGCAATAGGTATATTTAATGAGCTCCTTGAAAATAGACTATCACTGGTCCAAAGGTTATTCGCGCGTTTTATCCTTTCCATCTAATGAGCAAAGAGTTAAAAATATGAATTATTACCTTTAACATGTATAAATATTATTTTACAACAATTTTTAGAGTCACAACAGAGTGTAAGACTACTAAAATAGATTAAAGATAGGTAGAGAGCAAAAAGAAAGAAAATGAAGGCACAAATGTGAGTTTAAAAGAGATAGTAAAGGACAAAAAAACAGTCTCAATAATGAGGCCAGCCTTAAACTAATCAAAACAAGGGTTCGTTTAAACCAAGAAATGGGACTACAATAACTGAAAATCAGTAAATTCCGGATAAATAAACCATTTTCTTTCTTAGATGTACAAAATTGGTAAAAATACTCACAGAAACATTATATTTTAAAGCTAATCCTTGTAAAGTATCGCTGGGTTGAAGCTTGTGTTCAATATAACGGGGCTCCTTGAACGAGTGGTTAACTGTGCTTCCATACTTTGTTTGCTTTCGTACAATATTACCAATAAAATGATACTCATCGGCATCAGAATTAGAATGAGACATGATGAAGGCCAGAACTAAAAGAAAATGGATATGATTGCTCCCAGAGCTTCACAGATTCAATTTAAGAAGAATAGTAAAAACACAACAAGTAAAAGGGATAAAAATGTAGTTAAAATATATATTAAATAATTCTACAAAAAAGATATCCTATACATTGAATGGTTGAGGTTTTATGTACACAAAGATACTATCTGATATCTGTATCTGATACCACCAATAATAACTAAAAATTGTAAATTTTTCGTTTACTAAATAGAAAAGCCTTAATCTGAAGTTAGTTTAAGAATTTTTGAACATTTTAATGATGTTGATGAATTGCAAAAGGATTTAAATAATAATTTAATAATGGATTGAACTGATCTCAAATCAGTCTAACAGATACCTGTTTCAAATTTTGCGGTAAAAAAATTGCACTTGTTCAAGTTTCTAGAAACAAAAAATTTATCAAAACTGAGTCGAACCCTGATTATTACCTTTGATTTCACTACACTCTAACCACTGACAATTAATTTGTGAGCTAGCAATTAATTTTCAAATTGTGGTCAAATTAATTAAGTTTAATGTTCAAGCAGGCATTGGTAAATGAAGTCAATGCGTTAAACTCATCACTCTGGCGTTAAGTAACTTTAATGTATGCATTCTTTGAGTGGAATTTAATAGAAATTGATCAAAAAATTAACTTTTAATCCATTATTAAACTATTATTTGAATCCTTTCCATTCAACATCATTATGTGTACGGTTAATTTCATAGTTAAAGATACACAGATTTGTGTACATATAACCTGTTCCACATTTTCAATGTAAAACCATCAAGTAGAGTAGGACGATAATAAAAATATCGATAGTTATCGATAAATTAGATAAATACTGTCATCTACCAGATAATGTCACTACCTGGGAATAGCTTATGTGCACAGCAAGTCTATTAATCGAGCAAAAATTCAGTGCAACAATTAATAAAACCAAAATTGATTGCTATTAACGTCACATAAATAATATAATAGTTATTATCGTGACTAGGATCGTTAATTGAGTAAAATTTTTCAGTGATATTCAATTTTCTCTGAAAATATATGCTAATTTCGGTAAGGTCCTAGGATTGGTAACACTGGCGTGGCTTCACAAGACTTTTAAATTTTTATCCAATGGAATTAACTCTGAGTTTCTTGGTGAGTTGAAGTTTTATTGACACTCTTAAATTCATTGATATTTAATAATAGTTGATCATGGACAGTCTTGAATAAAAAATAAAACAAGAAAACGCAGTTAACAAAAGTAAAGGGTAAGGGTGCTTGAAGGGTTAAGGAAATGAAGGTGACAAAGTGATGACTGATTACTTTATAATATCCTGGTTTTTCTGGTAGAAGACTATGGCATATTGGCGGGTTAATCATTAGATAAATACTGTCATCTACCAGCATGGTTGACTCTAATTTCTTAGCTTATGTGCACAGCAAGTCTATTAATCGAGCAAAAATTCAGTGCAACAATTAATAAAACCAAAATTGATTGCTATTAACGAAACTCAGAGTTAATTCCATTGGATAAAAATTTAAAAGTCTTGTGAAGCCACGCCAGTGTTACCAATCCTAGGACCTTACCCTAATTTCAATTAAAACTTTCCTTATAGGAAATGTAAACAAAAGGGTTTTGAGGGACTATTGATTAATCTACTGACATTATCTGGTAGATGACAGTATCGATAACTTTTTTTAGTTATCGACAGGCATTAACATATGCGAACAGGTAATTAAACCGCTTAAGATCACATCTTATGGCCAAATTTTAAGCTGATTTTATGCTGATTTTATAATTACTTGCCAAAGAAGTAAAATCAAACCCGAAAATTTTGAAAAGTTGGTTTTTTTCGAAACCATACAAAATGTTTTTTATAAAATGCTTCTATTTTCATCATATTTTTTTCAATAACAATAACAATAAGTTATCAATAATTTATCATATTGACCGTTACTCTTTAATACCCTTTTTCAGGGTACATCCCGTTTCCTGTTACAACGGAAAGAACTGAAATGCATTTCAGTAAATTAAAGGAAAAAAATGGTCCGATGATCTTTTTAGGTTCATATTATTGTCAATTTTTATCCATAAAAGTTGCATCGCATAACCAAAATAAAAGGCAACCTGAAATGACTATTTTTGAGTTGTACTCTTGTTTCGCTTGAAAGCTTTGACCCAACTTAACAATGTGATATTGGACAAAAATTGTGAAAATTAGCCAAATCCATGTTCATCCTTTTCATCTCTATTATCCATCATGAAAACCCCCCTTTAAGTTAAACATGAACAAAATTAATTGTTCATTTTGCCATACCTTTTTTATTCCTTTCTTCCTTCATTGTTTACACTTGCCATTGACATTGATTACCAATAGGGCAAGTACATTATCCTTTTCATTATTTTTTGTCAACCGCAAAAAAGAGCGCAAATAACAAAATTGTTTTCCAAGTGCTTCATTTTAATTTGATTCCAGTTGTTTGACACAAAATCCAGGTAACAGGTTACAATATTTGCTGATTCAAGTTAGTTAATCAATTTTAAATATTAATTTATTTATATAAAATCTTTTGTTTCTCATAATTTTCAGATTGGTCCATTGAGGTGCATTATTGATAAAGTGATCAGACGATATTGCGATCTTACAGCTGTTTGGTGTGTTTTTTTCTTTGTTGTTTAATCTGTAATCTCTATTCTGATTCCATTGGTGTCAACTGTTTAATATTCAAAATGGCTGGTGCCACAATCAGTCGATGGCTTATTCTGGTTACTCTACTAAGTCCTGGTTTACTGGTTTTTCCCACCTTTAGTCAGGTTATATCTTTTGGTATGCGAAAACTGGCCTATTCAACCAACCAATTTGGCTTCGATTTACTTCGTGCAATGGATAAATCGGAATCGTCTACAGCTTTCTGTCCAATTTGTATATCATCTTCGCTAACCATGATGCTGATGGGTTCACAGGGACACACCTCAACAGCACTAAGACATGCATTATATCTTTGGGGAATGCAAACCAGTGAAATTAACCTTGCCTACCATGACATGATGACCCATCTTGGTGTAAATGTACCCAATAGTGTTCATTATCGCAATTTAGGTCCATATGGTCCGTCACCAGCATCTGATTATCGTGTTTCCATAGCCGATAATGAAGCCAATACAGGAAACGATATAGCTTTTCTTTCCCATGTTTACGTCCAAAGAGATTTTGGTATTAATTACAGTTATCACATGCTTTTACAAAGATTTTATAAAACAGCAATTCGTCCTTTAGACTTTATTGATAACGGGGAAGAAACTCGTCAACATATTAATGCAATCGTTGAAAAGGAGACATCAGGAAAAATCAAAGATATCCTTCCTGATCGACAATCACCAACAACTCAATTACTACTTCTCAGTGCACTTTATTTCAAAGGATCACTTGATCTCAATATTACTTCTTCAAGAAAACGCAATTACATAGCACCTTCATCATCGTCCTCAGCCTACAAACAACTATCAGGAGCATCTTCAAACCTTTTAGGCGTCTTCTCTGAGGATTCAATTATCCTGGAAGCTCGAAATGTCCGTATTCGTTATGGATTCAATCGTTTCTTAAATTGTACAACAATTGAAATGCCTTTCAAGGGTGGCTTAATTACTTTGGTAGCAATGATGCCCCATGATCCATATGGCCTAGATACTCTGTTAACTCGATTATCTGCTCAGGTTTTAAGTGATGTCATCAATTCACTGGAAGTCAGAAGAGTTGATGTCAAGGTAAGTGATCAATTGTCAATGGTTAACAGAAAATTGAGTTTATAATCGAAACAGAATGCAAAGTTTAATCATGAGTAGCAAGTTATCAATCGATTGTTTGCCATTCTAGCCAGATTACAGGCAACATCCATTCAAGTTACATGTGATTAACCATATTTTGATCGAGAATCAGTTTTTTGTCAACAATTGGCACTATTATTTTTAGCTTCATTGTTTTCTTACCCATTTTTTTATTTCAATTTAACAGATTCCTCGACTGCATTTTGAGACAAGCGATCGTAATTTAAGCTTGTCTTTGGCTAATTTGGGTGTCGCATACATATTCAAACCAGGCTACTCTCAACTGTATGATATAAGTGATTATAAATGGCTCCATGTTTCTGATATAATTCATAAAACTTATCTTGAAATTTGGGAAAATCCAAAGACATTTACCAACACAAACATTAACAGTATAAACACTAATGGGAATACCATTAATAGCAATAATGTTAACAATAACAATGGTAAATCACAGTACCAATCAAGCAACAACATTGAGGTTGTATTTGATAAGCCATTCCTATTTTTCATCATGGACAACATAAGTGGACTAATTTTGGCAATGGGTAAACATGGAAGGGAACCAGTTAATTACAGATTGCCCATTTAAAAGGAAAAGCACAATTGACTGCAAAGTAAAACATCTTTCAAAGATCAAGTCAAGTGTCATAATGATAGTCAAGCAAGACCAAAGACAAGACCAGTTTCAAATTATCCTGGTAAACAAAAAATTTTGATCCATGTAAATACCAACTTTGACCAATTTCATTGTTTCATTGAACAAGTTAACCACAAACAGCAGAGTTGCAAACTTGAAATGAGCGGTTCTTTCAATTTTTTCAAAAAATGTCTCGTTTCCCCAATTAATCATTTTAATCATTCCATAGTTTACTATTTTTGTATGATAATTTTTAAACTTGCCTTTTATCAATTAAATTTTGATACAATCAAACTTATTCTTGAACCAAGTAAACATTAATCAAGTTAACTGTTGATTGACATCCCATAAACTGGTTTACTTGACATAATAAAATCGTTTCATTTTATCTCCGTTTTTTTAACCAGTTTCACTTGGATCAAGGCTGATGATTACCAACACTTTACAAGATTAAATTCATTTATTTTGATAACAATTAAATTGAATCATCAATAAAAATACAACAGCAGCAGCACATGTTGAACTATTGAAAAATATTAAACTCAAACTATTAGCATTCATATGAAATGATAAAAAAAAGTGCAAAGGCTTAACGGATATAAATTGAAGTAAATTAAATTTAACCCAATGATGATGCAAAATGATTACAATTAAACAATCAACTTTGATCTGATTAATCAAGGATTCCTCTCTTATTAATGGGTTTAAGGTTTTTCATGTTTTGTCATTTTTGTTCAATTGTAAAACATATGAAAGAGTAAAGAGCAAAAACTAAAGAAAGTAGAGAAACAATTATCTTTTATTCAACCTTCACTTGAGAGAGATAATTCAATTCATGATTCTAGATGTTTAATTGATGATATCATGATATGGTGTAAATATTTGGTGAAAGGAAAAGAAAGGAGAGAGAAAGAAAAATGAATCAAAATGGGGAAAAAAAAGTTGAAGTTATTCTAACCAAATGAGAAACGTTATTGTTGGTAATGTGACATATTTCAAGTCATCATTATGATCAACTAATCTAATGAGAAACAATTAAACCATATCTTCATCCGAGGCACCATTATGATTACCATTATCTGTTGGATCAGGATTAAGGGCTTGACATTCACAGAGCATGTTGTAAATTATTTCCAATGATTGTTCTTGAGCAGGAACCATTCTGATCTCTTCATAATCTTCGGGATATTGATCTAAGTAATTAGCTAATTCTGAGAAGGAAAAGTGTACAATTAGAACCATTAATGGAATCATTTAAATTTTAAAAAAAAGGTTAATCAAAGAGTTGAAGGTTAAAAGGTAAACATGACGAAGCTAATGATGAATCGGATTGATGAATCATGGTTATGTGTAGGATCATAATATGCATTTTGACCTAATAGTAAATTAGATGATTAAAATGTCACAATTGAACAATCAATTGAAAATCAAATATGGATCAAGCCAAAGAAACCGTCAGCCAATGACACTTTCATGTTGAGATCAATTGTAAAATGTTATTGCCACAAATGTTAACGGTCAACATTTCATGTAAACATACAAGGATAACCTTTTCAGAAATGGACAAAACAAAACATGAGTTGAAAATTGAAACAACACTTGATAAGAAAGCAGAACCCGAATCAAGTCTTTCTTACATTTTTTCATCTCTTTCAATTCACTCTTTACATCATCTTTTCATCCTTTCCTTCATCTTTCCATGCAGAGAGAGAAAAAAAAGAAAATTAAAGAGAAAAAAGTTGATCAGGGAAAGGTCATTGAAGGATAAGAACAAGTTGAACATGAAAAAATAGGAAGAGGGTTAAAAGTACAAGGCATGAGGGGCAAGGGGCAGAGAGAAGTAAAATTGCTTTCAAGTCAAAAAGGGCAAGTTTTTTTTTATCATCATCATCATCATAATCATTTTTTCCTTTTCTACTCTTCTTCAGTGGTTTCTTTTTTGATAGTGAGTTGAATACACAAAGGGGAAGCTGAAGGATGAAGCAAAAAAAAGAGGAAAGTTCATGAGAGGTCAAATCAAAGGTTGATTAAGGTCAAATGAGTTTACCAACCAGAATAAAGGATGAGAAAGGAAAGGGCAGATGAACAAGATGAGGGAGAATTAACATGACAATATAAATGTATAAAAAAGTGAGTTAAGCAATGGGCTGTGGGAGGAGGAGGGACTGGGAAAGGAAAGGTGGAAAGTTGAATGTTGAATAATACAGAGGATTTTTTTGTAATAAACAGGTTTACCAGAGCAAATTGTATAACTACTTCAAGATGATGATGATGATGATGATGATGACTGGGGAAAATAGACGGAAAGAGATGAGATTAATTAGGTTCAAGACTCTTTACACAAAATGTTAGGTGAAAAGTTAGATTAGGTAACGCTTGAGGATGACTGTGCAAAGGTGACTCTTCAACTTGAATATCATCTCTATTTTACTGCCAAATGTCAAACAATTACAATTGAAAGGAAATGAAGGTGATATTCAAGTAAAGGTGGGAGGAGAAAGGGTGCTGAGTTATTGACAAACGTTATGGAGAGGATTGAGAGAGAAACCATTTACAGGAACATTCAAGATGTTATCGTCAATTTTACATGAGACACACAAGATATCAATATCAATGGATAGATATGAGACTATGAATGATTGTGATTACATGGAGATGATCATTATGATCATATCAACATTCAACATTCAAAATATTCCCCTTTTTCATGTTTAGTTTATGATGAAGAAATGATTTCTGAAAGGATTAGATACATGGAATCATTAATTCAAGACATTAACAAATTGAGTAATAATTTGTGAGGCAAAGTGTGTTTTTTTTAAATATTTTTGCTTTTCTATTAAAATCTCGTCTCTTTTAACGTACAGAACATGATTAACAGTTAATCAAGTTACCTTAAAATTTATATTAGAGGTGGTTGTAATGGTGTGTGTGTGTTTTTGTGTTGTCAGTGATTTTCAAAGAAAGAGGGTGGGAAAGTAAAGGGTGTTAGTAATTAGTAAAGTTCAAGCAAATCCGTTACCTAAAGTTGATAGAGACAAAGATAATGATAAAGATTGTTGAAGACGCCAAAACAAAATAACAAAGACACAATATTGCAATCGTCATGTGGACATTATCCCAACATTTAGTGATTGCTTGAACCTTAATAACTGAAACACCCTTTAGGAGCAAAAGATACAGAGAAATCAATTTAAAAATATTAAGATTCACTAACAGTAAAGGAGAGAGAGAGAGAAAGAGAAGCAAGAAGAGAGCGGAAAATAAAGGGTTTTAAAGCTACAAGCTTGTGAAGATATTACAACTGGTTACTTACTTTAGTCACTGGGTTTCAAAAAGTATTTTATATAATCCGTCCGAAGACACAGAAATATATTTATAATATTTATATATATTTATATATTTTTTGTTAATATATATAATCTTATATAGCTTATATATTCATCTTTTATATAAGTTGCTAAGAAGTTAGCTGAAAAAAGGGGTTTTGAGGAATAGGTGATGAAAATAGGAGGCAAAGCGCGCGCGAATGAACAATTAACAGCACACCAAGTAATAGTAGAAAGTAAAGGGATTTGTTGTGTGCTTCTCTGTGTGTTTAAATGCCATTCCTTTTACTTGAAGCTGCTGAAGAGGAGGATGATGGTGAATGATTTGCGGCTTGAGATGCATTGGTGGCACCAGTTCCTGCAGATGAAGATGGTCGACTGCTACTGCTTCCCGTTCCATGTTTACCGTTACGGCTTGAAGATGAGGATGAAGATGAAACAAATTCATTGGTAAATTCACTGGAATCCATTTTCAAAATATAAGGAATGATACTTTCAATCTGAACATTTCCAACTAGACCAGAAAAGAATAGCTCCTCAGTTATACTGGGAAGGAGACTTCGAAGTGGCATTAGACGGAGTAAAAGTTTACCGAAACGGTTTAAGGCATCATCACCGAGTACAGTCTCGGTAACATAATTACGAAGTTCAGTGACGGCTTTTTCTTGGAATTTTTCTATCTGACGACAACACAATAACTGACTGATGGCCAGGTTTTCAGGACTAAACAAAACAATTGCTTTAAGATATGCATATTCACGATCATCAATCTCTAATCTTTGGATTGAATTGACAAAATCTTGAAGTTTACATATATGATCAGTAACCTGTTTAACCCGTTGAACGGATAACTTGTCTTGTTGAAGGGTTGTCTGTAAATGGGTTACAATGGCTGACAAAATGGTTGCCAGAGACATTACTTGGGAACATTGGGCAAGACCAAGGACGAAAAGTTGACACCAGCAACCACGGATGAGTGAGGTTTGGACATCAATGGAGAGTAATTGGAAGGCTTGGACTGATTGGGCCCAGTGAACGGAAAGAAATAGTAGACGAGATGCACTTTCACAAATATATTGAAGCGACAAAAATGTAGAAGTTCCAGTGCTGGGCGGAGTTAAATTAAATTGATAATGAGCCTCATTAAGAAGGGTTCCCTCCAATTCAAACAAATCTTCACTTTCACTTGAATTTGGACCTCCAGAGGCAAAATCCATTGCACCAAAAAGCAAGGCAGCTCCCTCTGAACTTCCACATGCTATTTTTGCCATTACATCAAAAGCTGCCTTTGAAATCATTGAAAGATTGGCTCTTGCTTGCTTCTCTTCACTTGACTCACTTCCTGAACCGCTTCCGCTAGTATTACCACTTCCTCCAGCACCATTACCATTGTTGCCTCCACCAATTGCACTAATAGATCCATTGCTGTTGGCATTACTAGCTGCTTTAAGCAGGTTAATCAATGGATTTGAATTATTGTCATTATGATTAGCACGGAAAGCAACCAAATTAGAAACTACATTTGCTAACGTACTTAAATCTCCGTTACTTGTGGATGTTGCCCCAGAAGATCCGTTACCGGCTGAGGAACCATCACCCCCATTAGCACCTCCACTGCCCATGCTAGTTGGATGGTTATTTTCCAATAGACTGGCCAGTTCATTTTGATTAGAGGTTGGTTTAGGAAAGATGGCTCTATGGTGGTGATTGATGATCATTGAATTTGAAGAGGAGGAAGCTACCGTTGAAAGAGATCCAGCGGCAACTGCAGCTGCTGTGGCAGCATTTAAAGGCCGTAAATTAGGCACTAAAGAATTAAGATTGTTCATGACATTCACTGAATTGGTATGAAGGTTGTTGTTATTGTTGTACTCTAAAGCAAGTGGTTTACGTTCAGGTTGACAGTGGTCAGCTCGCATTCCCATTTGTAAACATTTTTGAAGTCTACAATACTGACAACGATTACGATGATGTTTGGTAACCTCACAATCCTGATTCGCTCTACAAACGTAGCTCAATTGTTTACGAACACTACGTTTAAAGAAACCTTTACAACCTTCGCAGGATATTGCACCATAATGACGACCTGAAGCTTTGTCACCACAAACGACACACATTTCAAGTGACTTCTTATCAATTGGATAATTTGAACCGTGACTCGGTGAGACACCAGCATAGTTAAGGCCTCCTGGAGTAGATGAACCTAACGGAGGTGATTCCATGCGAAGTCTATCTTCATCTGGCGATCTTTCAGCCCATTCTGAACCAGAATTTTCGGGTGAATTGTCATAATCAAAAGATGACATGGCAACAACAGCACTAGGAGATGTGGGTACGCTGATGTATTCAGTCTCCAGGTCACCACCAGCACTGTTACCTTCCCCACTGCACGGACTTGGAGGTTCACATTTAATTGGCGTTAAACTGTCAGGTTTAACCATTTTCTTGACACTTGGTTTACGAATGATGTTTTCGTGGAAAAGTGAAACTTATAAGTGATGAAAAATTTAAAAAAAACAAAAACAAAACACAACTGTGTTGATGTCACTTTCCTTTTGCACTTTACACACACTTGGTGCGTACAAATTACCGCTATAGCGCTTTATATCCTCTTAATTAAGAGAATATCCAATTATATATTTATATTTAATATAAATATCTTTTGATGTATTTTGCAAAGCAAATAGATTAATATATATTTTTTTTCGTGTCAACAACTTTGGACTTGACTTTATCCTTTGCACTTGCTGTCATAGAGCACTTATTTTCCGAGTTTTGACTTATTTGTGTTAGAAGAAGAAATTGAAGTTTTATGAATATTCACAAGAAACACTTGAATGGTTGTTTTGATTTTTGCTAGTTAAATCAATTCACATATGACTGTTACTCCCTTGGATTCGAGTTGATCGGCATTCGTTACATAAATTGACTTAGATCGAGTGACCAATAAAATCCAGTGTTTAAAGTTTGAAATTTTCTTGAATTTTGCAAAAATTGTTTTCCGTATGTTAATAGTTTAATCCGTTGGTGTTGTTGATATCTTTAACTTTGCTTACGTGTTGTTAATTGAGAAGGTTGAGATGAGTCTTTTTTAGCGTGTATGCCTTTGTGATTAGTGTAGGTTAATGCAAGTTACTTGTTATCCTTGTAATGTTGATAAATTCAATTTAAAAAGATTGCAACGATAGTTGTAAATGGTAAATAAAATGAACAAAATCAGAGTAGAATCACAATATAACAATAAGGCAGATTGAAGCCAATCTTTAGCTTTGTTTATGTCACAGAAGGTGTAAATTATGATGAATAAGCGATGAAGAAGAGCAAAAAAGTTCTGAGTTTTTGTGTTTGCGTTTGGTCAAGAAAAGTATGAATGTATATGTTTGTTGTATTTGTAAGTAATAAAGAGACTCATCTGCTCAATAGGATGAAGTCTTGATTATACTTTGATCTGTTGATGTGTTTGTGGGTCGATTAATATGAAGATCCGATAGAGGATATAAGATAATACAACGCGAAACGATAAGAGACGAGGTGTAAAGGGATGATAATGATTGTGGAGACGATTTGATGATGATAGCGATGGCATGAAGTAGGAGGTAAGAGGGCAAAAGAGATAAAGAAAAATTGATAAATAAAAAGGCCAATGATAACAATTTGTAATTAGTTAACGCAGGGCAAAAGGTAAAGTAAAACAGTTTTTTTGGGTTTAAATGTCAACATTTTTTACAAAGACACACACACATAGAGAGATATGGGAGATGAACAAAGGTAAACACAATTGAAGATGACAGTGATGAAGGTGATCAAAATGGATAGTTTAAGATACTCAACTACAAGGTTTTTTTTTCAAATGAAAAATCTGATATTTTGAATCAATGATGGTCATGAAGAAAGGTTAAAGTAGAGAAGAATGGAGAAGGATTAAATCATTTGAGAATCATGAGAAAAACGCGAAAATGTGAAGGTTATCATGAAAGTTGTTTGAATGGGGGGAATTTGATTCGTGACCTAAAAACTGAAACAAATTAAAATCCTGTCCTAATCATCATGGCCTCGACTGAAACTTTTTCATAACGAAAGATAAATGTACATTGAAGAACAATGTTTAAACCTAATGAAAATAAAAATAACTTGTTGCATGAAATATTAACGTAAATGGTTATTGAATTTACGTAGTGTGAGAGTGAAATGAAATGTTGAAAGCTATTAACAGTGAAATGATTGTAATTAAATTGAAAGGTGAGTTTGAACAATTCCGATTGAATGGAAGGAGCTCGCCATAAGAAAACAAAGATGAAGATAGCAAGATGAGGAAAACTTTAATCCCAAAAATGGACTGTATAAATGTACGATCTTTCCTTGAAATGTCACGAGAGAGGCGAGAGAAAGAGAGGTTTCTTGGGTGGGGGAGATTGAGAAAGATTGAAACATTGTATTGAAGTAAAGTGAATGCAAAAAGAGAACCGTGGAATTTTCAATAAATTGGAAGAAAATATCATGACTAAGGGTAGATGATGATGAAGATGGGGGAAAGGAGAAGGCAAAGTCCGTCAAAAAGTTTCGATAGATCAAATGAAAGAAAACGCCCCAATGGGATGTCCGATCGAAAGTCCGAGATGTTTAATAGATTGTCATTAGTTAGTTGTAAGGTTAAAAAGTCAAAGACACATGAAGATGATGGTAAAAGATAGAGTATAAACTATCATCAATCGAATCAAGAGGGGAAAAGATGAAAAGGTCAAAGGATCTGATGAGATTTATAAGGAGTCACGGTTGTGAGTAGATATATAAAAATAGATATCAGTGAGGGAAAAGGAAAGATAAATGCAAAAACGAGAATCATGAGCAAACGAAAATGTTTCAACTAAAATATCATGAGGTTTGTTTGCCAAGAAATCCTTTTTGGAGAAAAAATAATTCGGCGGAAAGTTTAACTAATGAAAATTGAGTTGCTAAAAGAGAAGTGAATATGAAGAAAAAAAAGTCAAATTTTGACAAGAGGAAAGTTGATGGTTCATAAAGAAACAAGGTTAGATCAAGTTCAAGTTTAAATGCTTATCTTGATATTGAGCAAAAAAAGGAGGAGGGAGGAGGAGTGAAAAGTAAGAATATAAAGGAAGAAAGTAAAAAGTAAAAGATAAAACTGTAAGGTAAAGCTTCGAATAAGGACAAGTTCACGTTCTTGGCCATTTTTACCGGATACCTTGCTTAGAATAATTCATTTACGGTATTCGTAATGTTAGCCTTAGGTCAGTTGCAAGAAACAGAGTTAAAAAGTAAAAGTAAAAAAGTTATTCAAACATGAAGAGAAAAAATGAAATCATGAAATAAGCGAAAAAAGTAGCCAAGGTCATAACTAACGCTAACGAAAAACAAAATCAAGGTGATCGAGAGCTAAAAAGTGGTAAAGGCAGAGCCAAGGCCATCATCTACTATGATCGTCATGTCCTCCAAAAAGAGAGAAAAAAGTGAAAAGCAGAAAACGAAAGAGAGAAAAGGAAAAATAAATAGATGGAAAGAGTAGAATTGAAAAGAATGAGAGGAAACAATATCTGAAGTGAATTGATGTCAAGTGTGTAAAGGTAATCAAAAAAGAGCTGATTATATTTACGAATTCCAAGGGGAGAGAGAGAAAAATAAACCTTGCTTTTTAATGAAAAGAGTTGCAAGTGAAACAAAGTTGATTGGAAGGTTAAAGGGAAACATGATGACAATGATGACGATCAAGTCAATATGTGGTTGACATTTGCAGAAAAAATGAGTCAATCGTTTAGCCTTTCTTAATATGTGAGTAGGCTTGAAATGGTGATAGGGAAAAAACTGTTTTAATAACTAAATCCAAGTAAATGTAAAATGAAATGAGCTACCAATGAAAATAAACTATGCTTCATCGATTAATTGAAGATGAAATAAGAAAGCAAATTAAGGTAAAGCTGTCTGAATAGTTAAATGGTCAGAGAAGTAGGATGGATGAATAGTGATGAATATGAAATTATTTTGTGAATAAGGAGAGGGTTAAACAATACAATTTGACACACCCTTTAATGGAAGAAGAAAAAAAATGATATAAAACTTTATTCGACTTACCCTCATTGGAGGAACCTACTAATTCGTTAACACGAATCATCATGTAAATACAGGGATGACCAAAAGTGGTCGTATCTCTGGATATAGCGTGACAACTGATATCGAAATATGATAAATTTATTCCTGATCCATTTTCTGGGTTAATCCAAGTTATACTGATCAAAGCAAAGTAAAAGTATACATAAACATGTCAATTAAGTGAAATAAATTTTTACACACAGAATGGTATAAATATACACACAGGTAAAAAACAACTTTGATAAGAAAGGACAGAAAGAGAGAGAGAGAGAGAACGTCAAGTCGATGGAGAAAAAAAACAAGGTAAATTTTTTTGGAAATAACAAAAACAAACAAACAAAACGATGTAATAACAAGATAGCAACAGAGAAGAAGAATAAGGAAGATTAAGGAAAAAATGAAAAAAAGAAAGGTTTAAGGGATATTTTGTCTTGAATAATGTGACTTGAGTTACTTTCAACTTTCAACTCCATTAGCCAAAACATTTACGCACTTCACCACTTTGCTCCCTCGACTCATACTGGTTGCTCACTTGTTCGACCTTCACTTTCCTCCTTTTTTTTTACTTTCATTTACTATCCTTTTCTTTCTTTCCAACTCACTATTTCTCTTCTTTCTCTTACATCAACTATCAACTATCTCACTCTCTTTCCTCTTAAGCTCTTCCCCCATTAATAGTTAACAATGGAAAACATCAACATCAACCGCCAAGGGTAAAAAGTTACTAGTTGAGGTTTAACAGCAATTCGAGTCAACTGACAATCAGGTTACCAGGGAGAATTGGAGATGCAGAAGGGGGTGGAAATGGAAATAAAGAGGCAACAGTAAGTTGAATTGGAAAAGAGAGCGAAAATGATAGTGAGATTTGAAAGAGGTGAACAAGAATGAGTTACCATAGAAAAAAAATGAGGGGAAGGTTTGAGGTATGAAGAGAGATGATAGATTGAGGATGAAAGAGGGTAAATGAAGAAAGTTGAAGAGAGGAAGAGAGTAAAAAATGAGAGGAGACACTAAAATCAAACAATTGTGATGTTGATAGGAATAATTGAAAGACAAAACGAATGAAGATGAATTTTGAAAGGAAATATCAACAATACTAAAAGATTACAAGAGGCAGAGAGGAAGATATATATTGAGACTGAAAGGAGAGACAGTAAAAAGAGGTTTCATGTTAACAGTAAAGGACAAAGGTCATACAATCATTTAAAGACACTGGGGTAATCAATAAATATTTACCTTGAGGTTGTAATGAACAAATTTCCCTTTCCTAAAAATGTAACACCATTATAAATGTCTACACCAGGTTCAGAATATCGTACTTCATTTACAGCAGGAGCAATCGTATTCGGTTTGGGTACAATAATCATTGCCATCTGAACAACTATCAAAGGTTAGGGAAAGAACAAATGTGACAAAACTAAAATTAGGATGAGTTAAATGTTAAGATGATGATATATGTTCAAGGTGATGGTGATGATGATGATGATGATGATAACAATCAACTGTGACTCAATCACAATTAACTACTTATATTTATATAAATACATTAACGAAAAAAAGAAAGGAAAAGAAAAGAAAGAGAAAGAAAAGGATGAGATTAGATGTTAAAAAATGAAAAAAAAGTGTAATTTTTAATAAATGCCAGATTAAAATGCCATCTATTGATGAATCTTACATAACATGTAAATACAATTTAATTTTATAACAAGAGATGGAGCTTCATATACGATAATTTCAAACAAAGATTGTTTATTAAAAGTAAATTGCTTTTTCTGGTTTACTTTGGCATTCAAAATGTGTTTTCATGTTTATAAATTGTAATCATTTATTGTTTATTTAAAGAGTTCATTTAGGTTTACAATTTCCCCAGTTACTTCTATTTGCATTGCTAAAGTTCAAATAAATTGATTTACAGTTGTTCTCGTATTATAAATGGCTAACAAGTAAGTTTAGTTTCAACTTTGGATCATCCTGTGAATCAAATTTTGGATTAGCTTTCGATAAATCAGATTCTTTAGATTTGATCAAACGATGAAAAGAGTGAAATTTCCGTTACTTATTTCCACCTGTAACGCAAATTTGAGTTTCAAGTTTCAATGAGCCTTCAACTCTTATCTTTTGTTCATTTTATAAGGAACTCATTTTACCGTATTTAGTCAGACTTTCTGGTGCTTCACACAACTTGTTATTGTTGTTTTACTGGATTTTGAATGTTAACTTCAGCTAGTTTAATCACCAAGCTTCAAGAAGCTAAAAACAAATTGAATATAATTCAGTCTCACAAGATGGAGCCCATTACCATTTCAATTGAAACCATTTTTTACATAATCGGACAACTGGGTTGACCATTTTACTCAACAATCAAAGGCACTTGGGATTATGTTGATCTATTCATTTATTTAGACTAAAAATACATATAATGTAGCTAATAGACATTAGGCCAAGTCACAAGGGTCACAATTTTTGTCAATGTAAACTATGACTTTAGTGTTATTCACAACATTTTTCACCATAAGTTGTTAATGTAAAGAAAAATAAAAGCAATGACTTCATTTTTCATAAAACATCAATCACTTTGTGATTCTCATAAATTGAGAGATTAAAGTCATCAGTTGAAATGAAAAAATCAAGAAAAATTGTGCAAACATGAGAAAAAATATTCAAATTATGGTTTTAAGATGATGTAAAATCAATTTTTGATCATCAATTTTCTCAACAATCTTACATAAAGTCATTTCTCGATCAGCATGCATCTAAATGTACTTCAATGGTTAATTTTAACACAATGCCTATGGCAGTTTAAATTGTTACCTTTTCATTAGTAACCCATTTTTGTTACCCTTTTGGTGTATAAACAATAAACATTAACCCAGCCCAATCAGAGAGGTTTAATTTGTCATTTTACAATCTCAAGCAAATAAAAATCAAAGGTTACATTAACAACATGTAATAATTGGTTGCCACATTTAGAAATGTCAAGACATAATTAACTCTAAACCATGTTATTGTTTTGATTGAGTTACTTTATTTACATGAAAACTATTGACTCAATTCATCGTAAAAACCTTAACAATCAGTATCCATAATTGTGTTAGATCAAGGTCTCAATGATTCAAATCAAACTGATTAAACATAAGGTTTTTTAATATCAACAAGTCCATGAGGTTTTGAGGCAATGTTAAGATGATTTGAGCTACAATCAAGCTTTAGTATTCTTGATTGATTTCATGATCTCGTTCCAATGCTAAACAATCAAGATATGCTTTATGGATTCACTGACCAAAGGGATGTTTATCTTTGGTCATTTCAATGATTTTGCTGCAATTTTTAGCTGTTAATTTTATGACTTTATGGATAATCAAATATCCCTGAAATCATTAATTAGTGAGATTGGATTAGAGAAGCAAAAACAGAGCCTCAGCTTAACAACTAATCAGAGTAATATTTATTTTTTGATGATTCTAATTGTAATTGTTGATATCTCACCTTAACTATGATATTAATAGTAAAAGTGTTGACATTATAATAAAATGGAAAGCATTGAAAGGGTGAAATTGAAAGTTGTAACTACAAACCTCGTTTTCCCTGTTAATAGGTTTGTTTATAATCAAAGAAGCTTAATCTTACATTTTGGTTTAATTGATTGTAAGTTAAACGTTTTGAAATGGCTTTTGAAAGAGTTGAATGTTGGTTATTAGAGTGATTTTGATGAAAGAGTTAAAAAATATCAAGATTTTGAAGATACAAGCAGAGAGGGACTGAAGATGATTATCATCATTAATATGAGTTAACCTTAAGATGAGACCGGAGGGAAGAAAAGGTTGCAATTGGATTCTTTATGATAATTTATCAAGTTACAGTGACAATCAGAGACTTGCTGAGCTAGACTTAATCACTAATCAACAGGGAATGAACATTCTGATGAGCCTTGGTTCAATACAAAAGTCAATCATTTCATTTGAAAACATCCAAATGTACTTTCAAGAAAGCTTAAATACAGTAAATAAAATGGTGATTATAAAGATGATGATGAAGATGATGATGATGATGACGATGTTAATGAAGATGATGAAATTTGCTGGGTAATGTTTGAAATGAAGAAAAAAAATTTACCCAAAAAAGGAAATAAATTTGAGGCTTATTCAGATGAAATAGTCAGCTAAGTTTATAGCCATTGAAGTAGATAAGTGGCTATTTTTGATTTAAAATGTTGACAATTTATGGTACAAATGACAAGATTTATTACAATTTGTAGACCTTGAGGGTAAAGGAACCAAAAATTTACTTTTAATTGAACAAAGGTTAGCCAAATAATCAGATGAACTTGAAAGTGCAAAGATTTTGATTGAATAGGAAAGCAAAAGTGTAACTTGTAATGTTGTCTATGATTTGATAACTGATATTTTGAATGTTGATCATTTTATTAGATTCTTGCAATTTTCAGTCTTTCAGGAGGAAAAGTCAATCTGTGAAATTGGTTTGAATATCAAAAAATATGGTTCAACAATGATCACAGGTTAAGTTGGTTGAATCACGTGTTGAATGGAATTTTTGATTGGCCTGATCAATGATCATGTTGGTGATGAGTGTGATAAGAAAATGTTGTTGATCTTTTCAGCTCAAATGATGAAGATTCAAAACGCCCAGGAATGATATAAACATGTCATGAGGTTATGATGAAGAGTCATTTTATCCCAAAATGATTTAAAAGCTAAACTTCAATTGATTCAGGAATTAATTCATTCTTAAGGCAGGTGAGAAATGGATTGGGCAAAAAGATGATCGAGATGATTTTGATGTTCAAGATGATGATCAAGGTAAGATCATCTCTGTAAAGAAAGGAGGAGAGAAGAAAAGGGGAGTTGAAAAGACTCAAAATTTGTATTAAGTTCAACTGGATCATGATTAGAAACCTGATTCTTGGAGAATCTAAGAAACCATGAAAGAAGAGAAAGTAATTTTGATTAAGTATAAAAGGGACATGGGTCTTCGGATGAAATATCATTTAACCACTGATAGTTATTTGGTTATTTTGAATTACATCAAGACCCTTCAGTTTCCCTCACAATGAACACTTTCATTTGCTTTGCCGTCCTCTTTGCTGTTGCTTCAGCAAACCACCAGATTCACAAGATTAGCCCTGTTCAATCATCATCATGGGGACTAGCCAGTTCTGATAAGGTTAAAGAATGGGATGGTTCATTGTCTTATGTTTCACCTGTTCCATCCAGTGGATACTGGCCATCATCTTACTACTACCCATCAGCCCAATATGGACAAGCTATCCACCATGGACAAGCAGTTCAATATTCACCATCCGTTTACCACTCACAGCCAATTCATTATTCAGCTGAAGTAGCACCAAAGGTATACTCAGGAGCAGTTAATTACAAGGTTGTCCCATCAACATGGTCAGACGAATCATATGTTCCATCAACCTGGTCAGGATACTACTCAGCCGGTCTTCCAGTTGCCAAAGTTGAGAAGCAAGTTGCTCCCAAAGCAATTGCTGCTCCAGCTGTTAAAGTTGAAGAAGTAGCTGCCGATGTTGCTGTTGCTCCAAAACCTTTCCAATACTCAACGTAAGTTTATTTTAATTTCAATGTTTTTAAAAATAACTTTCAATTATATTCTTATAATTTCTATACAATCAGTGAAATCGTTCATGATGTTCCCGCCAAAAAGGAAGAAGTTTCCTACAATGTTGCCTCACCAGCCGTTTCTGGTGTACGATCAGTCTCTGTTGCTCCCCAAGTTGCTCCAGTAAACAAGGTTGTTTCAGCTCCAGCTCAATACTCTGCCTGGTCTGGTGAAGTTGCTGCTCCAGCTCCAGTTTCAGGATCATGGGTTTCAGATGTTAAACCCGCTACATGGACCTCAGATGTTAAGCCCGCTACATGGACCTCAGAAGTTAAGCCTGCTGTCTGGGCATCAGATGTCAAGCCTTCTTCATGGGCTTCAGAAGTTAAGCCTGTTGGATGGACCTCCGAAATCAAGCCTGCTTCATGGGCCTGGGCTCAACCTAAACCATCATACAGACAAGCTGCTTGGGCTGATGTTAAGCCTGCTTCATGGTCATCATGGTCAGAACCAAAACCATTGAATGCCTACGTTTCCCAACCAGCTTTCTATGGTGCTGAATACCCACAAACAATTTACACCAATGCCCACCATGCTGCTCCTTGGTCATCAACTTGGTCATCCGCTCACCCAGTTGCATGGACCGAACCAATCCAAAAACGATCTGAACGAAAACAGTTCTAGATTAACTAAAGATTAATCAAAAACTGATTCAGAAAAAAATGAAATCAAAATGATCCTCAGCCGTTTATTTTTTTTTTGTAAATTGTGATTATGACTGAAGTCAGGTTTAAAGCCCGGTCAAATCAGTTGTTGACATGTTTCTTCCACCTTTCCTCTAAATCTTTCAATGGATCTTTATAAACAGATCTTTTCAATTCTCATTTTCTGTCTTCAGAAACATTAACTCACCTCCTTTTTTTACAAGAATGCAACAATAAAATTAATCTATCAGATTTAACTTTCTGTTTTTTGATTGTCGCGACATTTGAATACTTTGGGAAAAGCAATAACTTCCATCGATTGACATCATCCTTGAAATAGCAATATGGCAAATTAGCAATTCAAGTTTTATCATTTTAATCTCTCCTTTACATTGAATTTCGACCGTCACCAGAACCCATAAACTTTGTCTGTAATTTGAAAGGATTATCTTCTTATCAGCCAAAAATCAGTGCAACATGAAACAAACAATTTATAATTATATTCAAGTTATTTGCTCTTGCAATGATAAAAATATATTCAATTTGTTTGAACCGATTGAAAATTCAATGAAATTATACAAATGTTTAAGATGAGCAGTTTTATTCAAAGTAGCGAATAAAAAAATTAAAACAAGATATGTTAGAGACTAAATTTAATTATATTTAACAATTTATGTTTTCGTTCAAGCAAATATAACTCAACATTTATCATGATTTCCATCTTCCACAACATAAGTTTAATTGATCATAGTTGTATTAATTGTAATTATGACAGAAATGGGCAAATGACTAGCCTAGAAGATTCACAAAGCATGAGACAAAAAAGTAAGGAATGAGGAAGAGCGAGATATTTAGGCAAAATTTATTTTAAAAGATGTTACGGTGCTCTTCTTGGTGGAATGACTGGTGGTGGATGCTTTGGCGGACCAGCGGAAGATGTTGGGACCTTGGTTCGAGCTGGAATAGGAGGTGGTTTGTTCATTAAGCAATCATTCATTGATTCGAGATTAGGTAAGTTTTTAGGCCTTTCCGGAACAAGTGGCGGTACATCTGGAATACACTCTACAGGTGGCAAAGGAGGTGCAGGGGGTAATGTTTGCCATGGAGAGACAGGTTCATCTAGAATATCATCTTTTTCAAATGAATCTACTCTTGGAGGTGGAATAGGCGGCGGTAATGATGGTTCGTTTCTATCATACTCATCCGGATCATCATCAGAAAATCCAATCTCTCTAGAATTATCGTAATCACTCGATATTGGTGGTGGAGCTGGAGCAGGAATATCAGGTGGAGGCATGTTAAAAGTTGTATCACCTCCTTCAAGTGAACTTCGAGAATTGGCTCGCTGGAATTGAGAGTTTCCTCTGTTGTTGGTAGATCCTTCAGATGGTATGAATTGTAATGATTGCAGCTGTTGAGATGGAGGCGGTGGAGGTGGCGCAGGTCGAACTGGAATTGGTTTCGCTTTTGAACTAGAAGCCATTGGCGGTGGTGGCTTTGATGGTGGACCTACTAAACTACTTGTGCTACTGCTATTTGATCCTCCAAGACCTTTGGCAATAGAAGGAGGCGGCGGTCTCGATGGTGGCTGAGTTGGTGTTGATCGTCCAGGAATTGGAGGAGGTTTTTCATCGGAATCATCTCCAGTTGGACTTGTTTGACATGGAGTAGATACAGTGTATAAATCATCTTCAATACAAAGAGTATTTGGCAAGCACAACGAAGCTGAAGTAACTGTCGAAGCTTCTTCGGGATCGGGTAGTAATGAGGAAGATTCACATAAAGGTACCACATTGTTCATTCCCAAACTCATTTCTTTACGATAAGTTTCCATCCAATTCGGTGTTTGTAGCTCAATCCATAAATTAGAATCCAACATTGAAATTGAAGACGATTTGGAGACTTTCAATGCCGAAACACTTTCTCTAAAATGGATTGTCAAATGTTTCTCTCCTAACCTAAGTAAAACGATTTCTCCACCCTCATCACCAAGTAATTTAAGTATTGATTGAATTAAATTATCAGTGAAAGCGACAGCACCAGCCTTGTGTTTAACTAAAATACAAGCATCTTGCGGACCCGAGACAGTAACCAATCTAGCAAATATTTCTTCTAATGCTTTATCATCAACCCTTAATACATCAATACCGTATTCACCAATAACTGGCCGATGATCACTAGTTTTCAACTCAGCCCGACCATAATAGATTATTTTACCATAATTCAGATGCTGATGATCTTCCCCTAATCGGGTTGCATGGCGTTTCTTAAAGAGTATACGATCAGTATAAGCAGGAATTCGACATTTTTCACTAGTATCATAATCATCTGATTCGATGTCATATTTATAAGTAGGAGGGAAATTGATTTCACCCTCAATATAATTGCGGAAAACTTTTCCTTTGGCTTGTTGGACCTTCAACTGGTCACTGCTTAATAAAGTTGGCCAATCGCCTAAACGAACGCAATCTTTTACACGTTCGTTGTCCATATCGATTCGATAATTAAAATCACCACACCAAAAGATAAAATCATGAGAATTGAGTGTTCTACCAGAAGGAAAACTAAGTTTACGAGTGATTTCTGCATAATCAGCATTACGATCTTGAACTTGAGATTGACCAGCGGCAAAGTGAGCACAAAGGAAACATAACGAGGTATTATGGAACAACATTCGGATGCCAACTCCACCTTTGTTACCAGCAGCTCCTCCTAATCCGGTTTTAACAATATCTACAGCAACATCTCTGTAAAAAAGAGGAAATGAATTCGAGTTAAAAAAACGTATATAAATAGCGATAAATTAAGTAATTGTCAAAAACAAAGGAATAAAAAGTAATGTTTGAGAATAAAATGGAAAATTTGTTTTGTGAAGTGACAAAAGGTGAACTTTTAGGCACATTTTTTATTTTACGACATTCTTTAACCCATAGATTTAAGAGAAGCCTATTACAAGTTCTAAGGAAACATTTTGCAACCAAAAGCATTCCTTTAGGTAACAATAAACTGTTATAACGAATAAAGACGGGAAAGGTTTAACAGGTCATAAAAATCAAACCTCAAGGTGAAAGGCAATGAAATGTCTAACTTTTTCAATTTGAATATTGAGTGGAAATGTTGCAGTTCTTGATAATTGTTTAACGAAATACTAAAAGTAAAAATAAAAGACTTTTATAAATGAGATTGACTAAAAAGACACAATCAACACAATTGTCACATTTATACACAAATTGAAACAAATGGGCAAAAACGGGTAAAAATTAATTTCTTGCAAATTTGCTTCTGATAGTTATTAGGCAATTATAAGGACATAAAAAATAAGTCCATTCGTGCGATTTATAAGTTTCTCTGATCAATAGTTTTCATGAAAGTCGAGTCGAAAGTTGAAGCTACGATTGCCTTTTGTTCATTTATGGAAGATGACTTTTTCGTGAAACTCATTTTCCTTTTGCAAATGTCAATGGCCCACCAGAAAATCCACTTATTTTGAGGGATAAATTTTCTGTCTTCTGTAAAACAGATAAGTTCGATTTTTAGTTGGACCGATCGCTTTCTATGACCATAAGATTCAGCGAGGTGAAAATTATTATTTGACCATAAAATTGTCGCCTCACATAATGGATAAAATAAATTCATCAATTTCTAAGCAGATCTCTTGATTTTGGTCTTTGGACTTAAAACCCTGAGGCTCGATATTTCGAGAATGGCATTATTTACAGTCATCATTCATCATCATCAGTCATCAGTCATCATCATTCTTTCATTCTTACGTAAATAAAATGAATTCACGAAAAAAGCTTTGCAAGTTTCAACTTCGACCCCGATTTTCTCGAAAACTGTTCATCGGAGAAATCTTAAAATCGCACAGATAAACTCATTTTTCATGTCCCTACAAACCAATAGAGTCTAAATTTGCAAGAAGTTAATTATTTCCCGTTTTCGCCCATTTTTCTTTCAGTGTTTTGTCAATTTGAGTCAATTTGTGCATAAATGTTACAAATGTGTTAAGTGTGTCTTTTTAGTAACAACCAAGATTGACAAAACTAAAGAGCGAGAAAAATTTATTGTTCAGGATTGTTGCTTAATGATTTCTTCCGAGTTGCTAGATTTACAAATGTCTGAAAATATTAAAATTCATAATCATTAGATAACCTTGAAATCCAACCTCATTCAATAAAAGCATAATTAAGTGCAAGGTTTGAAAGCAAAATTTACAGGCGCATAAGAACCTAACAGCTTATTTTTTCATCTTTTAATGATAGATACTCAATAATTTACTAATCTGTAGTAATTTTGAATCATGTCTATGGATAAACCAAATAAAATATCTAATCTCTTTTACTTTTGAATGCAATAAAAGTATCAGCGGTGTATGTAAATGTAGATTGTGATTGAATTGTTTACGACCATTTGCAAACTGATTTGATGTGGAAACAAAGTGTGACATATTTGAACAAGGTCTGACTGAAAGCCCTTTTTGCATGACCAAGCATAAAATGATCAAGACTTATAGAATGAAAATCGGTCAATGAGTGACAATAAAAGCAAATAAAAAATAAATCGCAGCGAATTGAGTGGCAATGATGAAGGAATGTAATTTTTTCTGACATTCAATCTTTTCAAGTTGATTTCGTTGAAAACTGGTAAGTTTAAACTTAATAAAGAATGGTTGCACAAAATGGAAGTTAATTAATATTTTTAGTTGATTGGTTGATGAATGAAATATTTAATTACCTGATAAAAGGAGCATGATGAGGTCGAACAAATATAAATAAGCAAACTCCAACAAGCTGTTCACTCGTAACAAGAACGTAATTAGTGTCGCGTGAGATGGTTTTTTGTAATTCAATCAACCATTCACGTTGATTTGATGTACTCGCAGCAACTATATTACTAGCATTGAGATCTACTATTTCCTCGAATCCGATGGCATAAATATCAGGCGGAGCATTTTCTTCAGATAATTCACCAAGAGATTCCTCCAGAGAAAGGTCCATAATATTGTGAACTTGTTTCTTTACTTTATAATCTAGAAGCCAATCTGAAAGTGGATCAGATCTACGATAGACGATACTGTTAAAATGTTTGCCTCCATTTACATTCCAGGTACCAACAACAACTTTGATTGATAAGGGCTTTGTAAATTCGAGATAACGATCACAGAGTGCAATGAGGATATTATTAGGAAGATGTAGATAATGTTGAGGAAGAAGAGATCGAGCTTTATCTGCGGATTCGTGATTCAATGATTTACCCAGTAACAGAACATCAAATGCTTCTTGTTTGCTACTGTCAAGAAGATTATTTTGAATGGTACGAGCAACAGAGAGAGTGCTGTCTTTGATCTGGAAGAATCAAAAATTTATATGAAAGATAAATCATCATCAAATATCGGGTCTTGAAATTACCTTAGATTTTCCTTCAAGAGCTCCTGTTCCAGCGTACAATCTACTTATTTGATCTCCATTCATAATCCACATATTTTTGAATGTTTCTTCAAACCGAGAAGTTACAGTCGTCTTATCAGTCAGATTGAGAGCACTGAGCTGCTTTTTAAGAATCTGCATGGAAATAAAAATTTGAAACAAAATTAGTAAACAAAATTACACAAGTAATTTGATATGAAAATAGATTATTAAACTAACCTCTAAACCAATGAAAGTTTGTACACTATTAGTTCTATCTAAACAATCAACACAGTTGACTCTGAAACATCCGGTTTGCATGTTCCTTTCAACACCATCTCCGATTGAGAAGAAAGAAAATTCTTTTAGTTGATTACGGATCTCGAAGGCAAGATGTTTATGTAGATTATCTTGACGACCTCGTGGGCATTGGGCATGATAATCGAAGTTAATCAAAGGAATCTCTTTAGTTAGACAAGAAGCTTTATGATGAGCCTTAAACATTTTTGTTAACATGGTTTCACCCTCTTTACTTCCCATTAGATTGATGAAGGATTGTTTTCCATACCGCTTACGAAGAGCGGCAATGTGGCGATCATAAGCTGGCTGTGAAATTTCACTTCCACGAGACATTTTGATTTTATGTGAGCCCAGATTAATACCAGGTTGTTCCCAGAATAATGGAACAGATCCTCGAAGAAGAATATAAGAGGAAACCTTGGATTCAAGATAAATTGATTGTTCTGTTTCGACAAAGTTGGCAACATTTCCATCATCATCAACTCCCCGAACGTTGAAACGAGTACCAGCGCGCTCCGATGATAACCTTGAGATAAGACAAGCTCTTGCCTGTTCATGTCCAACATAAACAGTGCTTATGGCAACTCCCCCGCAAACTGCTTTCAAAAGCCAGAGATCGGTATCAACACCATATCTTATGAAATGTAGATGGAAAACTCTATTCCAAAAGAAGCGATTATCGGTTTCATTCGTTCTCAACTTTCGCTGGGGGTTTAATGTTAAATCGAATGGCTTTTCATCTGGTTGTGATGTCCATGAGAAATAAAAAGTACCCGAGTTCAGCACTCGTCTTATTTCTTGAATTTTATCATTATCTGAGGCATTGTTTCGCAATGATATGAATGTCGTATCAGTGATGCGAAATATTTCCGATTTTGCTATTTTACCAACAGACACGCAAGCATTCACCAGAACAAGGTACAGCAGATGAGTACTGTCTCCTATTTATAATAAAATCAAAAGAAAAGTAAACAGGTTGGGTTTTAGGTTATTAGGTTGATATACGATTTTTGAATGAAATGTGCAAAAGAAAATTGCAGTTATTGAAGGTAAAAAAGCCGATATAAATAACAAAAAACTTAATCAATATAGATTGTTTACTTAATCAAGGTTTGTGATGGATATGATAGAGTTGAATGCAAAAACAAAGAACTTACCTAAAGGTAATTGAAGCACACCCAAACATCCATAGGCATCATCTAGTGAAGTATACAAATGCTTAACAGAATCAGCTTCACTACCAGCTAAAGAGGAAACATAATATATCATTAATTAAACATATTCAAGGATAGTTGGAGGTGGTAATCCAGTGTTTTATTGTTAACCAAAATCGATAATGTTTCCGAAAAGATTGCATGCAATAATCAAACAAAATCCAAAAGCCAAAGTAAAGTCGAAAAACAAATCATCGTTAGCATAAAACTTTTGATAACAAAGTGTCAAAAAGAGGTTGAAAAAGGAGAATTTGCAATGACGAAAATCAAGGTATGCAAAGTAAGCAAGACAGTTTCAATTGACTTTTTGAATGATAAATATTTTTACTGTCAGATTGACAGGAAAGGGATAGAAGTGAACTCGACCAGGAGAGAACAAAAAGACTGCACTTTGACTCAAAGTGGATTCCAAAGTTAATTAAAACTACTACTGAATTATACAAGTATGGAGATAATCATAAAAACCAGAAAAATGGAATTAAAATAATCAAATAAACTTACTCAGTGTTGAGATGACCTCAGCTTCGAAGAGAAGAGCCTGGCTCTTGTCATTCCTTTTCTCCAATAGAACCGAGTAAACTGAATCAACTTTATGCCAAACCTTGTAGACCTTACCTAACACCATTCCTTAGGACGAAACCTGAAAACAAGGAACAGTGCAATATTTTGATGATATAGCTCACAAAGCGAACAAGATTAGAATTCACATTTAATAAACTTTATTACAAATCAATGAAACACCATCACCACTAACTAAGATTTCAGGTGTAACTCACTAAAAAAACAAACCTTTCACTCTGAATATGTTCAATCAAGAAATATTTTTTTTCTCAGTAGTTATCTTATTTAACTGTAGATGGCGCTAAAAACTGTTGTCGGTGTAACCAATCATAAAAGGTGGTTAATTTGCAATTTAATAAAATCAGTTAAAATCAATTAATTTTCTCATATTCCTTACCTAGAAAAACTTAATTTTCGGAATATTTATTGACTTCATCGAGAAGTAAATTTGTTTCTATAAGCAAGACTAGTGATAGCGAAATAATTCGATCTGAAAATAAGAGCATCTAACAGTGGATTCATGTAATAATCCTAAACTTAGTTTATTAATTTCTCTGACTCTTCCATCATCCATCATCTTTTGGTCATTTTTTGTTCCAAACTCAATTGTGCCAGCAGAAATCAAATGTTAGTATACAACTAAAAAGAAATAAATTCACACTAACAACATTTTTTTCTCAGTAGTTATCTTATTTAACTGTAGATGGCGCTAAAAACTGTTGTCGGTGTAACCAATCATAAAAGGTGGTTAATTTGCAATTTAATAATATAATGATAACAGTTTATAATGATAAAAACAGCGGTTTTCATAAAAAAAATTATGACAGTAAATCATTGAGAAATTCATTATTACTTCAAAAATCTCGATGGTTTTGAAATGAAGTTATATGCAAGCAATTGAAGTTTAAAGAAATGAGAGTAAAAATGAAAACTACTTACTCTTATATCTGTTTTCAGAAGTGATTCAAGTAATTAAATTTAAATTAATGATGAGTTTCATCGAGCCATTGGTGAATTTTGTTGAGTGAAATACATAAAGATGAAATTAAAACAAAATTAATCATAACAAACGATAACATGGAACGGATTAAATACTGATGAATTATTGATTGTTAGATAACCAAACCAGCAATAAAAATTGAAAATTCAAAGACACTTCAGTATCAAAAATATCAATAATAATTACAAAATTAGTTTTAATAAAATCACTCATTTTGATTTCGAATCGCGATTTCAATCTGATTGGAGTGTTTTTTGTGAATTAGACAAGACTTTTGAATTTTTGAATCGTTATAATTTACTTGGTCTCTCGATGTTTTGATCAATATTTTAACAATTTGGCTTAATCATAAATGAACAAAAAAGTGGGCGAAAATTTCATGCAGATAGCTACTTCATTCAAAATAGAAAAATCAATGGATCCATTGAAACTATTAATTTGATTAAATTGATTGACATGTATTGATAATTTAGAGACAGCTTTGACTGTAGAATGATTGACAATTATCTGCCTCTGAACCAGCTACCCTATTTTACAAAGAAGATAGATTGAGAGATTGTTGATAAACAAAAAAATTTAATTGTTGACCATGACAGTGACTCATTTAACATAATCATTATTCATTTAGTTTTCCCATCTTTTGTACCCATCTATAGCAAATGCTTTTGTTGATAAAATGTATTAAACTTTCTTAGAGTAAGAAAGGAATAATTGCTTTTCTTCCTCTTGGATAATTAGAAAACTCCTTCTTGTAATTTCGGTGTTTTCCAAGAGCCCAAAGTGTCATTTGGAATAATCCAGCTGCAGTAAATAGGCCAGCGGGTAAGCATTGGGTGAGAATCGTGAAAAAGATCCAAGAGTATGCTTCGTAAGTATAATTAGGACATGAGACAAAATTGAAAAGAGTAGTAAATGGATTTCCAGTTGGTACAGGAATTTTTCGCTCCCTGGTTCCAGGAGGTCGGAGGTTTCTCAGGGCAATGTGGATACTGAAGTTTCCAAGCTCAGAAAGAATGAATCCAAGCAATCCAATGTTTATTTGAAGGCTGCCGAAATATGGTGGAGTGTAAAGGGGATGATTTACATAATATCCAATGTAAAATGCGAAACCCCAATAATATGAGCAATTCTGTTGGATTGAATTGTAGATAAAATTTTATTTAAGTAACATAGAAAAGGCTGCAAATGTATCCAAATTTACCTTGAATAAATTGAAGAGTGGCATAGTTCCATGAGAGAATCGGTGCACGAATAAAGTTTCGAGTATTCTCTTGATGTAATGGAATGACCAGCAAACAGCAGCATAACTATTCAAACGAATAAAAAGAGTCAGTAATGCCAGTGCATATCTTAAAATTCATATCTTGATTTTCCTTACTGAACAACTTGGTGCATTGGTTTAGTGGCAGCTCCTTTGCCGTATAAGATTTCAGGTCTGGTGTAGGAAACCATGTAACAGATCAGAGGACCAAAGTATTCCCAAAAGAAAACCGTTTTCCAACCGATTTGAGGACCCAAGTCTTTGAGGAAAAGTTTTTTACTGTTCTTGAGATTAGCGCTAATGCTCTTTAGTTGAACATCATCGTCAAGGGATTTTCCCTCTGCAAAAGGAAAAGTTTAAATTTTAAAAAGGCGAAACAAAATGTATGAATTTATCAAATTGACAATGAAGGATGTGAAACAATGCACAATGCAATAAATTTTTTGAAATCAGAGCTAATGAAATTGTTGTAGCGCTAAATGCAATAATTCAACATTTAAAAATGTAATAGACTAAACTTACTTGGTTCGATTCGAAGAGCTTGTCTGTCAGGGTACAAAGATTTCTCTGTGAAAAGTAAGCAAAGGTCATAAAGTATAATCCAATGATTAAATTTAATAAGAGAATAATTACTTACTCTGTTTGTGAATGAGTTTTTTAATATCTCGTATCTTTGATGATGGACTAACATCAAAAAGTGTAGCAATGACAGTCTCATTAGATCCAGATTTAACGATTTCCAACTGGTGGTGATAAAAAGGGCAAAAATGCAGAAGAAAATAAATACACGGAAACATGGAATAGGGAAAATAATATCAAAATTGAAAATTATAAAAGAAATGGGAAACAAATTTATTATGAGATAAGGAAAATAAATAATTTGCACTGGTCTATATTTTCATTAGACCAGTGTTGACATTCGTTTAACTTACCTCCATTGTGTTCTAAAGGGCACAAGCAAATTCACTAAAACAAAATTAAATTAATGCTGACAGACACGATAAAAGTTGAAGTGATGATGTTTGCTGAGACGGCAATCAAAACTTGATCAACCAGAAGAGGATTCAAACCTTACCTGGTTACTTGTGTCACCAGTTTTGTTTGAAATGATGGTTACACAAGAGCGCGAATTTTTAAATATAAAACTCTCAAATGCTCAGCAATTTGACTAAAAATAAAAGTAACCAAAAATTCTTGTTGAATAAATGATTAAAAATATTTTTTTACTAAATTGTTCGTATTTAATCATTTAAAAGGTTTAAATTGATTGAAAATAGACATAATTCAATGAATTAGAATACAAAAAACATCAAAGATAAAGAGTATTCATAGTGATGAATAGTAAATAGGGAATGTAAAAATCAATTTTAAATCGATATATAAAATTTACTCAATAGAATATTAGAATAAACATAATCAACAAGTGTAATAAAGTATTAAGTCACAATTAATTATTGCAGAGATCTTTGAGCGTTGGAATTAAAATCAGTCTTTGAGTCATTTTCATTTCTGATCCAAAACAATCTCGTTGGTAAAATTTACCCATTGCTTGACCTCATGGGTGTATTTTAGCGGGGTTCAGTCGATTAGATAACGATCTTGATAATATAAACGGGAAAACAAAGAATAGTGCTCCAATTGCATAACATATCTCAGGTCCAAATCTCCAATATGCTGTAAAAAATTATTTAAAAGATTAGACTAGATTATTAATTGTTGTAAAAAAACAAACTAACTTAACGAAGACACAATTGGACCTAAGGCTCGAGCTAATGAACCTAGAGATCGGAATGTACCAAGGACAGTCCCTTTTTGGTCTGATGGTCCAGTTGATGAAGCAAGAGTTGTTAGACAAGGCACAACAGCGGCAGATGAAAATGAATAGAAAGCTAGTCCTGAATAAAGTTGAGGAATGGTTTGAGATAGTCCAATTGTCAAGAATGCCAACACAATTACGATTAAGCCCTTAAATTAAATAAATAATATATGTGAGCATAATTTTCGATTAAAAAATTCAGTTTATTTACTATTTTGATTGTCTTGAGCTCTTTGGTGGGTTTTATACGCCGGACATAAGTTCCTTGAAGTAGAGCCATTAATATACCACTGAATAAGTATACTTTTGCTTGTTGCATTCTGAAAAAAAACAAAATACAATGAATAACAAATTCAAAACTTGGAAATTTACTCAATTTATTTACCTCGTGTATCCAAATCTATGGTGAGTTAAGAAAGTAAGAGTATATTCGAGGCCAGAGTAGAAGAATAAGTAAAGAAAATAGATGAATCCTAAATCACAGATAACTTTTAAGTCTTGAGTGGAAAGAAAGGAAAAATACGAATAAATCAAATTGTCAAAGATTCATCATATAACTAAAAGTCAAGTGAAATTTTTAAGTTAAATTAAACGCACCTTCTTTGCCAATCTTTTGAACATTTGAAAAGCGGAACAAAGAAATCGGGTTAACATATCCAAAAGCTTGCATGAAACCTTTGATGGTTGACTTGGCCTGAAGAGGTAAAAAAGGGGTTACAAAAATAAGATTGCAATCAGAATAGGAAAAAAATTCAATTCTTACCCGATTGGCTTTTGGAAGTGACTCTTTGAAGTATAAGTAAATAAAAACAATATTAATAACAGCCAAAACGGTAGAAAAAATGGCGGGTAAGGCGAAAAATTGTTGGCTCGATGAAAGAACAGTTTTTGAATAGTAGGAAAAGAAGGCACCAAGAAGAGGACCAAAAATAAAACCAACTGAGAAAGCAACACCAATCAACGCCATTCCTTTACCTCTATCAGCTTGAGCCAATAGGTCAGTAATTATTGCCGTAGATAGACTGACATTTCCTTTAAACAAGCCACCTAGCGTACGAGCAATGGCAAAGTAAAGGAACGATCCTTGAGACATTGACCAGAGAAAATGAGAAACAGCTATTCCCACCAAACATAACAACATTGAAACCCGGCGTCCATAGACGTCGGAAAAGGCCCCGATGAACGGTGAAGAGATGAACTGTAAAAAGGAGAACCAAGATCCTAATGCGCCAGCGAGTAGGACTTTATTTAAATCATTTGGAGCACCACAATATACTCTGAATGTTTCAACGATATCATTAAGTTGCAAGTAAAGGCCACTCTAGATTGAAAAAGTAAACAAACATTAATTAAGATGAATATTCTATAATATGGAAAATGAATGAACAAATGTTGTACTCACTTTATCATTAGTTTCATAATAATCCAATATTGATGGCATGAGCGGTAAAATAATTGTAAAAGCTAATAAATCAAGAATTAAAGAGATGAAGATGATATAACAGGAATGGTTCATGATGTTTCTTGGTTGCTGTTTATGTTTGGTGTTGCTATACTGATGACATTTGTTGACAAAGGTTTAAACAGAAACAAGTTTCTCTGGAAGGAAGTTATTTTTAATGAATAAAGATATTTATATTTACATGGTGATATAAATTATTGAGCAAACATGACAACAAAAAGTGATCAAATAACTTCTATTGCCACGTTGATGGCTATAGTTGTTGAAATTTTGAACTTGATGCTCCCTCCGTTTTACTGGTTTCCTTTCTTTTTATCTTCCTCTCACTATCTTTTCTCATAAAGCCTCTTCCGTGGCTAATAACATTAAAGTTGATTGTAATATAAAGTTATTGATTAAAATATTGCTGAAAATGATTTTATGCTGTCAGATAAAGTTAGATTGAAACGATCTATAAATCAATAAATTGTGAATTCAACTAATGAAAGTTACGATAGCCAATCATCTTGTTTATTAACAACTTTAAATAGCAAACAAAAAGGTGTCATGCGATTAGAACAAAAGTGCCAGATTTAAAATCTGATAATGAATCGCCCTTGGTTAAATTAATTTTATGTTTACAGCAATATGAGTTCAGCAGAACCAATCATAAGAACATAAGAACTCTAATCATTTATCGATAAGTTGCATCATCATCATGGTAACAAATGAAATAATTATATTTTACATGATAAATAATAAATCAAGTTTGAACAATAAAACGTTTTATGATTGATTCGTTACTTTCTCTCTTCCAAATTAATATAATATCAACAATAAAATAAACTTTAACCCAATTAACTAAATAAAATTCTAACAAAGAAGGTAATTTGGTGATTTACATAATTGGCATAAATTGGACATTTTGCAAGAATCATAACAGGTGTTAAAACAATTATCCTTTTGAAACTCGTTTCAATTTTTAGAGTTTTGTCAATCAAATTTAATCCTATTTTAATTTTTCCTCTTTTTTTCTTTTCTATTTAGCATCACCATTTAAAAGTCGATCTTTAATGTAACTTGAATCACCAACTAGATCTTCACACAGAATCTTTCCTTTGGTTATTTTCTTGATTGTCTTAAGTAGATCATAATTGATTTTATCAGAGACAACAGAATCTTTTTTATAATCTGAGTGATTTTGGACAAACTTGCGAATCCATTGAGCAGGTGTCAAGTATTTACCTGAGGCTCGGCAAGAAATTAGATTAAGGTACTGATTTATAGTACAGTGAGTTTCAGCATCGATCTCAACACTAAGTAAATAGTGTCTTAAGAGAGGCATCAATCCGGGGAACATTCCACTCTTTCCATTGATTATTTCATCGATGGTTAGGAGTACACATGATTCATCAATATCATTATCAATGATATCCTCATCACAGTTTTTAATATCATTAGTACTGGCAGCTCTCAGACAAGCTGAAGCTTCGGGTGGACTAGTTTGAGTAATAATGCGTTTACGAAACCAGAATCGACATCTTTGGACAGCATCACGTTTTTGTGCTTCTTTCATATTTTCATCAACTTTGGAAATGGGTAATAAAAGATTTAATCGGTATGTTAATATGATTCTAGTAAGTAGAACAATGAAAACAACTAAGGCAGCATTTTCAAATTCCGTTATTTGAACTTCCATTGGACGAAATTCAACTCTCCAACCAATTCCTGGAGAGGATGGAGGAGGAGGTTTAAATCGCATAGTTTGCCAGTTTGTCGATTGAATATTTTCAAAATGGTCCATATCATTTTCATCATCTTGGTCAAGTTTTTCTCGATACAAAGTAACAGGATCACGTATAAAAAGATGTGCAATGTGCTTGGCAATTAGAGGATCAACGCCAGATTTAACCATTTTATCATAATAAACTTGATCATAAATTAACGGAATGTCATTATATTTATCTCCATCCGCTGAGATATATGAGTCGATTGAATCATATCTTGACTTATTGATCCGGAACTTGCAAAATTTCATAGGTTCTTCTCCAAGTTCTTCTTTGGTCCTATCATCTACCGCTTGCGATATCACACTCCAGCGGCAATCGAGATCACAGAGGTATCCTCTTTGGATAGGAGATGCTGCGCTTAGAGCCATCATAATAGGACATAACGGTGTCAATTGATCGTACAAAATTCTAGCCTCATCAAGATTAGAGGCTTGGAAAGTAACTTGAAGGCAACAACATCCCATACCAAAGCCCATAGCATCCATATAAACATGATCTGCTTTAATTGCCTCTTTTGCTTCTTCGTCGTTAAATTCTTCAATGAAAGGATCAGGAGTCTTAATATCACGGTAAATGGGAATGTTGATTATCACTCGTCGCTTTCTTCTATGTCTTATATTCTGAGCTAGAGTTCTGGATAAAGAAAAACATTTGTTTGTTAGCCTCTTCAAAACTTTAATTCGCCGAGTTTTAGGCACCTGAAACGTGGATGTCCTCCAAATATTGCTTCATCGGGGAAAAAGATGGATCCGGTAACACTTTTGGCAGGATCGAGTTGAGCTTGAGGCCATGTGAAATCAGGACAACCAAGTCTTTTTAAATAAACAAGCAGCCGGTAAATATAAAGATGTTAATAGAAGTATTACGACTTTAGATCAAGATAATCATGATAAAGACAGTGAAATACCATTAATGGCATCAAATAAAATAAGAGGTTATTTATCAAGCCGTTATCATGATGTGTTTTTATACCAACCTAGGAAAACTTGTGACACAGAGAAGAGCTTCATCTGGTGATAATAACGCTTCGATTTCCTGGCGACGGATCTTCATATTTTTTTCGACTTCATTAAAATTGGAAAGCAAGGTTAGATCAAGGTCTGAAGCTCCATAAGGCGAACCCGGTGTTCCTTCAATCATGAAAGCGCCAAACTTAGTAAAAATAAATTGAAATCATTAATAACTTATGATAGAGGAATCGAATGATGAATCATGTGAATGTAATATTTGCAACAAATGTAATTAAACGCAAGTGCAAAATATAAAAACGTGATCCAATATATCTTTCAACTAATCAACGAGATTATAAATATAAATATAATAGATATCAGTTAGATACTAAGCAAACAAGACATTTTAATGTTACATAAAATAATTAGATTCGTACCTCTGGTCGCCAAAGACAAATTCTAGAGTTGCCTTCTTTTTTTTCACGTTCATCCATGATAGAAAGTAATTCACCAGCCTTAAGGCACACTCGTGCTCTTTGTTGTTTCTTATCAAATTTGATAAGCATGTACTCAATCTGTAAAAAATAACAAAATAACAGAACAGATTTAGCAAAAATTAGCTATGAATAGAAAAAGGGAGCCATGTTATAATTATGACCAATAGATTAAATAGCATAATTGTTTGAGCAATAACATAACAATCAAGCTAATTCAAAAAAAACAAAGAAACAAGAGCTTGGAAGCTAATTTATAAAAAATGCATAGTCATCTGACTTATTCTTCGATTTTCATATCAAATCTTTCAAGCTCTAGATTAGGAAGATGGTTAAAAATTAAGGATCAAATGAAAGGATAATTATAAAATAGAAGAAGAGGAAGAAACATACCTCATCACCCCATTTAAGATATTCATCTTGTCTATCCTTGAGTTTATGGTAGGAATTAATGAATTGGATTATACCATGTTCGCGAACATGTTCAGCATATTTACGGGTCTCATTCCAGGTCAAAGGTTGTCCAAGAGTAAGTAAGCCCATTTTAGACCCAAAATATCTGACACTCTAAAAAAGATGACAAGTCGAGTCACTTGATTGAAATTTATTGAGAAGGTAACTAGGCAAATGTACCGTTAAGAGATCAACTTTCAAGTAAAACTCTGTTTTCAATTGTAATCCGCTTAAAGTATCGGATTCGAATCAAATAAAACATTCGGATTTGTATCTTTTAGCTATCTTTTTTACCGTTAGATGGCGTTTTTATTGTTATGGTAATTTACTGGTTTAATGAAAATTTTGTTGAAAATTCTGGTTTTGTTTATTATTTTATAGTAATTATTTATTGACTTTATGATGTCTTTTGCCGCCCGACAAACTTTTCAGGTATTTTGTTAGCATCTCATTCTGTTTATCTTTGTTTAATATAAGTTTCTTTTCTCTTAGACTGTCAAACCTCATATACCATTGATCAGGTTTAGAAAAGGTGGCCTCGACAAAACAGCTGGTTTGTATATAAATTTAGTGTATCCGTATTGGAGGCTTTTCTAATTTCTTTGATCTTTGGATTTTAGGTGTTTCTGGCTTGAACTCACCATCTTCGTCCTCCGCACCATCCAAAAATACCATTGATGAATCTCAGCTACCACTGAAATATCAAAGAAAACCTTTAGGCAGTCTTGAGATTGAGATAATTCAAGTAAGTCTTCTTTCTTTTCTTTCGCGTAACCCTTTTTTAATGGTTGATACTGATTTGTTTCACTTTTAATTTTTTTCAGAGAGGAGGGCCTGATTTATAACAATTTAGCCGATAATAGCTCAAATTAAATTGACAACCTGTTGCATTATATTAATAATTTAAACTGTTTAACTAGCTAACAATATGAACATTCTACATCATAAAAGTTGGCATGTAAGAAATAAAAATAATATAGCTAGAGTTAGAAGAGATGAAGCAAAAGCAAAAGAAGAGGAAGAAGCCAAAGAGAAAAGGCAACTAATTGCAGAAAGTGAAGCACGAATAAATCTGCTTCGATCCAGTTCAACTCGAAACGAAACCCCAGTCGACCAAATAGCCGCTATTTTTACTGAAACCGAGCCATCTTCAGCCAATGACGACCGGAAGAACGAAGATCATGCTAAGGAGGTTAAAAAAGAGAAAGAAGAATGGGAGAAAAAAGTAGGAATTCTTACATTTTTAGGCCAAGGATGCAATGAAGTTGATAAACCATGGTACCTCCAGAGCCATACCAAAAGAATGTTTCCAGATTCAAAAGATGATTCTAGTTCAACATCTTCAAATCAAGTAAATTTTCATCATATAGCTGACCCTTTAGTAGATATGCAAAGATATTTAGACATCATGAAAAAGAGTAAACCTACATCCGTTAAATCTAGTAAAGTAAGTATAAATTATTTTCTTCATAGTCATAAGATTCTCAATTTCTCTTAATTATAAAAATGTTTAATGTAATTATTTTTTTCCTTAAGCATGCAGGCCTTCCAACTGTAACTAAAGAGATAGAACGAGATATTTCAGTCCCGATTAATAAAAAGAAGGTTAAAAAGTCTAAAAAATCCAAAAAATCTAAAAAGAGAAAGCACGGAAAACTCAAAAGTCGCCATAAACGGTCGAAAAAATCCTCCTCAGAAGAAGATAGCTCATCCAGTGACGAAAGTGTCGATCAGGAGGAAAAGCGGGCAAAATTGGAATCTCTCAGAGCTGAAAGATTGCGTCGAGAGAGAGCTGAACGTGAAAGAGTTGATCGATTATTAAATAAACAAATTAAACCTGAACCTGTCATCGAAGCTGATCGTGATAGAAGATACAATTCACAATACAATCCACACTTGGCTAAACAAAACATGGATGTGAACCGCTGATTTTCAAATTCCATCAATAATATTAATTCAAACCAAAAGAAATCACTTTAAACTATTTAAATTTCTGAAATGCCCTCTATTTAAATACATACGTGTTAGCTGCTGCTGACGATTCTATAACATCTAGAATCCATTCTAATATTTGCAACATTTTGTCAATTCAATTTATAACTTATACCACTAGTTCTTTATTATTACCGTACAATGTTACTATTTCATGTATCCTAGATTAAATATAATTTAACGATATAATATTTATTTAATTTTATGTGCAACATAAATTGATTTTTGAATGGTCTAACAGCAGACAACTAACAGATATTATCATGTTCATTGATAACTGGCTAAATATTTATCCAATCTTCGGAATGGTGAGCTTAACTAGTGGTTTGCTTTTATTATGTAGCTTTGTCCGTAGAAGACCCAGAAGAGGTTGTATCCAAAGATTCCTTTATTGCTTCAGTTATAACTAAATTTAATTTCTATTCCGTTTCAGATCAAAATTTTGAAAACAATTCTTCAATGTCAACAGGTCGTTCAATACATCTTTTAACAAATGAAGATTCAAATAAAGTCCTTCGAATGAGTCTCAGTAAAAGTGAAAAAAGGAGTAAAGGTTCAAGTGATTTGGTTGAAATAGAACAGAAACCACGACGTAAGTAATTAAAATTAAATCTTATTTAATGAAATAGAGTAGCAATAATTTAATTGGTTCAATTGCAGATACTATGGTGATAATTCAAGAAGAGGACTCGATAACAGACAAAGGTAAACGTGAAATAATCCCTGAGATTGTAGTTGAAACTGCACGAGTAAAACCTAAGAAATCAAAATCATTGGATAAAAGAAAGTCTTCGGGTAAGTTAAATGTTAACATTTAATTTCTTGCTTAATTTATATTTAAAAAATTCACACAATTTAATTCCTCTAACTGTTCATTTACAGAAGCAAAAGTGCGTAAAAGCCAACCAGATTTACATGCAGTTGAAGAGTCAACACGGATTGAATCAGATGAAAACATTTTCTCATTAGATTCCATTAAAAGCAAATCAAATTTGTCAGTTGCTTCAAATGTCTCAATTAGAAGTCGCATTGAATCTGAACCAGAAATATCAACCATCAGAACAATATATCGTTCAGATAAAAAGAAGTCGCCCAGATCTTTCATTGATACCGAGGATTCTGATGAAGATGTTCACCAACCAAAATATCAAGCTAAAAAATAGACGCTTGTCTTGTAATAGTTTGTACTCACATTTGTCCGGGCAAAAGTATAGTTACCAATCCAATAAATGCTTCAATAATCAGCAAATCTGTAAATAATGTTTAAAAATTATGCTTGAATTTCAATTTGAACTCTTCACTATTATTTCCTAAGTTATTATAACATTCAAACAGTCTTCATTACATTTAAGTTTGGCATTTTAATGCTGCAAAAGTTCGGCCTTTCATTAAAGGCTTGAAACAAGACAATTTAGGTATCAATTAAATCATAAAATTGAAACAAAATATGTTTTTGTTTGATTTCAATATTAATCACCAAATAAACAACCTTTTTGTCACTCCAATGTCTAACCATAGCCATTGCTTTAACCATTAATCAAGTGATATTTAAGACTATTATGAAAGTATCAACTGATTCTGTGATCAGATGATATCAATAGCCTTGCAGTGTAAAGCCACCATTAGCTAATCATTAACCTTGATTTTGTATTACATGATCTATCGATCTAATGATCTACTATTAAATTGCCGGTAACTAGATAAAAATTCATTAATAAAATCAAGACGAATGTGATAAAACAATTGAAATAGGCTTTTAATCAACCATCTTAGACTCACCATTAAATTATTTTGATCGCCAGTATGGATAAAGAATTGATTTAGTTTCCTGATTCCAATAATATCCTTCCATTTGTTTAATAACTAATCCTATTTACAAATCAAGATTGTTTACTGTACAATGTTTAACTAAATTTAACTTAATTTCCTCAAAATTTAGATCCAGAAGATCCGTTGTTTTAATGATTACGGGTTATAGTCACTTGGTAATGTAAAAATTGGTAACACAGCCTTTTCAATTGTTAGGCTACTAAGGTGAGATTGTTTGATGTAATTGATTGATTTTGATCGGATGGTGAGTAAATAATTTAAGCATCTCTTTAGGCATCAACAAGGAAATTGCATCTCTTCACTTATCTACCTGTTAGCCTTGTAATTGTGAAGTGAAATTATTCAATCAGCTTCAAATTATACAATTATGTATTCACAATAAGATTGCAAACCGACTTAACTATGTAAGTTGTTCAAGGTTTCCAGTCAATTGCTGTTTCCTTTTGCTCTTACTGAAACAATTAACTAGCCTTGTTTGCAATTTGAATTAGTGCTTATGATATCTAGACAAAATCAGCGCGAATCGTACATCAAAGGATTTATCGTTAATCAACGAGACATTTGAGTGAAACCAGCGATTTCAATTCACTTTCACTCTTCAAATATCTTGAATCTTGAATCTTGTGAAATCAGCAAAAAATCATCTGCACATCAGACCATCATTAATCAGACCAAGCAATCAATCGATACAAACCAAAATTTTCAATTCTACTTGATCAGTCCAATAATTGTTATAATCAATGCTTCAATCTAGATGATTGAAAACTCAAATCACAGTCAAGTTATAATCAAAACTGTTGACACTGAGAAAAACATTTATTTAGTTGGAATCATAAAATCACAAAATGAACATTTTTCATGAAATTGATTGATATTTTGATTATCGTTGATTGAACTTATACACAGTAACATTGCTTAAACTGTTGCAGTTCAATCAGTTACCAGGTAAAGAATGGTTACTTATTCATACAAATTATCACCCATGAAACAGGCAAATTAGAAATTAAAAATAGTTTATTATCAAGTTGATAATTTTCCGTTAATCAATTGACTGCAACTGACTAAGCAGTGATTGAATCTAAACCACTTTACATGTGAACCTAAATAGTTGAATGGTTAAGCCTTATAAATGTAAACATTGAGCCCTTTTCACTTGATTGTTGACAATCTTTGCTTAAATTGTTATTCATCTGAAACAATCTGTTCCAATGGCAATCAAAATGGTTAATCTTGACGCCAAAGATATTACCAGAGTCTGGTTTTCAAAATTGCTTTATTGGTACAACAACGCTTAACATAAAATAAATTGTTGCTAATTGTAACCAATTTGTAGCCAATTGTTTAATTTAAGCATTAACTGTGTATTAATTGTGATGATTCAGGGCAAGGGCAAAGTGTAAAGCAGTTAGATATGTCCTTGCAAGTCTATGGCTAATGTGATTCTTCCTCAATTTGATTGCTTTTCAATTTAATTTTACCTGATTTTGCTCTATTGTTCATTGAATTACCTAAAAGCATAAAATGAAAAATAATCACAAAAAACTGGAAACTCCATTGACAACAGGGTTAAGGTCGGAATATGCTGGTTTCATCTTCACCTATGTCTGAATTAGTAGCACAAATATTGAAACAAATTATGATTGATCATGCATCCAGTGAAAACCTAAACTAAACTAACTCATCACTTTTTTTGGAGCTGGTTAGGTTATTTTGTTTACCTTTAAATCATAATTAATGCTTTGTTATCATCTGATACAACTGATTATGTGTTGAACTACAGATGATACAAAAAAAATCAGGTCTGAAGTCACAAGTTGTAATGAAAAATACCATGATATATCAATAATCAATTTAATAGCCAAGCATTGGAAACAAAAATCAGGTAAAGTTGAGGAGGTTTCTCATCAAACCCAATAATTTAAACATCACGTCATATTGACGTTTCATCTTTCAAGGTTTCCAAAGATAACCAGTTCAGAGTCAAACTCTGATTTACATATTTTTTGAACATTGATATTGTTTTGATTCCAAATCAATGAAATCTTTTTTACCTCCAAAGGTGCAGATCTTACAGATTTGCCAACCAAATTGGGCCTCATTTTGTACTCATCAACAGAACCTAAATAACCAGATATAGAGACAATTGTGAATTCTTGATTAGATAATCATAAACGAGTGAAATAAGAATATAATTTATCTTTAAAATGATGTTAAGTATACCAATGAGTTATTAAAGGCAATACCAAAGGTTAACCCAATACTTGATTCCAAAAATAAAACACTAGGCACTTGATTGTTCATCTGTTTTCACTCTTAGGACCTTTAATTGTAATCAGTGTATTAGAGTCACTAAGCAGTTAATTTACCGAAGAAGGTGAAGTGTGATGCTTGAAAAAACGCCAACATTTGGAGCCGAACATCTTTTTGATTGAATTGATACCAACTGGTAAAATGGGTCCAATTGATAGTGATCGATGATCATGATAGCTACTCTTGATTTGATCAATCTGTGTCTCAAGACCAAGAGAGTTAAATATAATCCAACAACTACTTGACAATCATACATTGGATGAAGAGCAATCGGATGACAACTGTCATATCATCCCTTCATCACGCTAAATGAATGCCATAAGAGAAAGTGACAAGATTTGATTAAGTAAATAATAATTATCTAATACCTATTACCAGAATTGTGTGATTAAATATCTAATAGTTAATAATAGTTAGGCCTTATTATTTGACTAACCCAAATAGTGTTGGAAATGAAGATTGATCACTCGAGATGAGATCGGTGATCAGGTAAACCTTTCATAATAAAAAGTAAAATCTTAATCGCAGCAAATCAGTTGAAAATAATATTACAAGAAACTCTTGTTAACTGATTGTTGCTAATTTTAACCACATTAATACACACTCATGGCAAAACTTTTCAATTCCAATTTCTCAAGGTAAATCCAATTCCTCCTTAAGATTTATAGATTACATGATTAGACCAAATTATTCTGTAATCTAGTTACAAGAAACTGTTGTTCACATTCCGATTGTGGTTAAATCCTCTCCATTCCGATCGTGATTTGATGCTGATACAATCCATGAGGACTCCATGCTCTTGCAACGAACATTTCAGAAAATTTCTCGGAAAATTTATTAACTTACAAATTGAATGATCTGACGGTAACAAAAAACTAAGGCACTGATACTAATGGTGAATCTATTGTAATAGAATCGCATAATCATGATTATTAAGCTTTATCTTTATCAATTAATGAGTTTAAAATTGATTGTAATTTGCATGTAATGTAAATTATTTACCTTGAGAATAAGATTTTCACTTTTCTCACTTGATACAGTTTATTGTACCTCAGCTAATTGTCATCACCTTTTTAATCAAAATCTTTCCTTTACCTTCAGTTTTCGGTGATACAATGAGCAACAATCAACTGGGAAAGTTTGGTAATTCATTGTGTAAACCCAAAAATTCAATTCATCATCATGATAGCTAATCTAATTAAACTGTTCAAGATAACATCTTTTCATTTCACACTGAATGTTTTACAAAAGCAAAGGTGAAAACCAAATTGCACTCTAATCAATCTAATGACAATTTAAACAATTGCAGAGTTTAATCGTAGAAATGGCTGAGAAAATGAAATTACACACAAAATGCATTGATTTCTTGTTGTATCATCTTGAAAGCATTTAATTATCACGGAAGTTTTTGTTTGATGTTCACTCTTCATTTGATTGTTTTTTGGTAACTGTATCAAGTATCTATTTTTGTTTTGCTGGACTTTGCTGGGTCTTTTCCGATCGGAATTGTATTAATAGGAAATAGTCAAAGTCCAACCTGAGATAACATTTTAAGTTCATTCTGTTCATAAACCGCTTAACCAGGTGCAATCAGCTTACAATCAGCTTGTTAGCCAAAAGACATTTGCTGCAGATTAAGATGAAAATGAAGATTGAAAAGGTTGTTGGAAAACCGATTTTCTAGTAAAACAAATCAAATAAACGGTCAATTATTTTTTACAAAACAAAAGGCTATTAATAGTTGACCGAGAATTGAATCAATAATTGAATCGATTAAATGACATCAAGGTTAACTAATACAGTCAATCTTAGTAAACGCACTTGTTAACCAAACCAGAGTGAAAAACATTCCCATAGATGATTATCTTGAAAATTTATTATCAAGTGGAAAATGGAATTGAACAAGAAACTAAAAATAGACAGCGAAAGGTGGTAAAGAGGAAGGTTGAACATAAGGACAATCAACAGGTAAACTGTCCAAAGGCCGAACATGATTATGGTGAATAGTGTTTTGACCCAGGGAATAGAAACTCTGAAGATTCTTAGATTCAGAGGAAACCATTTTTGCAAATCTCTAACTCGCTCAACCTGCTTTTTTCATATTGTATTGAAACAAAGGCTAATCAACATTAAAATTGGCTAAAATGAACTTTAATGGCGATTAATATTTAGCTGAACTGTAAACGTTCCCATTGTTTCATTACATATCGATTATGTCAACAATCGGGTTGCATAATTAAAATTATAATCAAATTTCTCTCTATTTACTCTTCTCTCCTCTCCACCCTCCATCTCACTTAATCATCTTTCGTCTCACCTTTTCTTTCTTCCCTTATCTTCCTCTCACATTTTCGTTCTCTCTCAATCTGATTCACTCTTCATTCTCACTATAAAAACCGATTCTCGTTCCTAACGATCCTTCATCTCGAGTTGCGACTCCAACTTAATAGGGTTAAAGTTTTTCATATTATTTCATAAAGACTCAATTGTTGATTACAATTGCCTTAAACAATTTTGTATTTTATTTCAACGTCCATCTTTTACTTTGTTTTCAGTGAAATTCCGAGTTGACTCCACCTTTGACCGACACTTGATTGTCCGAAAAAACGAGTTTAAATAAGCTGATTAATTTTTGGGTTGAGCCATTTATAAATCTTGGTTCGCATTTTTTGGTCTCATTTGTCTCTTAGCTTTGATTGAAATTCATTTACAAGCCAATTCTAGAAGAGAGTAGAAGACTAATTATGACTCGATTGTTTAGTCCAACAATATTGGTGTCAATCTTTTTGACTCTTTCGATTACTATTATACCTTTGACTTATGGTAATGATGACAATTGTGTGAAGCAGTATTTTGATCAAAACTCATTCGTCTGTGTTTGTAATATAAGTGACTGTCGATCCATTGAACCGGCAACTCCAGTTCCTAAAGGTTTCATCTTCACATGGGAATCCTCGCAAGATCAACACCGTTTCCACCGAACAGAGCGTTCAACCAAAGATCTGCCTCGAAATGAAGTAATCATGGAAACTTCTGGATCCTCATTGATACGAGTTCGTCTCCTTCCTCATGACCAAAGACAAACCATTGTTGGTTTCGGTGGTGCTTTCACAGATGCAACCGGTTACAATTTACTTGATTTACCAGCCAATCTTTCAGATCACATCATGCAAGACTATTTCTCAAGAACTGGCCTCGATTATTCTCTTGCTCGAGTTCCAATTGGTGGTACTGACTTTTCAAATCGACTTTACACTTACAATGATAACCAAGATGGTGATTTTGAGCTAAAGAACTTTGCTCTTCAACCAGAAGACACTCAATTGAAGGTAAGTCACTACTTTAGTTCATCTCCAAGTCAAAAATTGACTTTTGCGAACTAGAATTGATTTCATCGAGTTTACGATTATATGCTGAAAGTTTCTTTTTTTTCTTTTAAGATCCCAATGATCGAACGTGCTCAAGAATTGAAGGAAGGTCGTCTTAAGCTCTTAGGCTCTGCCTGGTCACCTCCAGCCTGGATGAAAACCAATAACGACATCAAGGGAAATGGATTCCTGAAAGGCGTACCCGGTGGACCCTATTACAAAGCATGGGCAAAATATCATGTCAAGTAAGAATCTTGTTTCATTATATTTCTTAGAGTAATGATAGTGACAATGATATTGAATGAAAGTAAATTATTAGTCTCATGTTTGCCAAATTAATTTTTTGTACAAGTTATGAGTTATAACATAAATAATTCTGATTTAGTTCATGCAAGTGTTTTAAGTTGATCATTGATCAGTTACACTGAAAGTGTAAATCCATCGCAGCTATTGTTTGAAAATGAAAGGAGAGGTCGCTTTGATCGACTACGATTTACAAAAGATTATTGAATAATCATTGTTCAACATGATTGATAGTTTTTCAATTATTTCATTTATTCTGTATTTTATTTATTTTTTTGTGCTTTTAGGTTTCTTGAAGCTTATGCTAGAGCTGGAATCAATTTCTGGGGCATCACAACTGGCAATGAACCTACCAATGCTATTATCAATGAAGATTTCTTCTTCAACTGTCTTGGTATGACACCAGAATTATTACGTGATTACGTTAAATTAGATCTTGGACCCACTCTTCGAGATGCTGGTTATGGAACTGATAAACTTCAAGTTTTACTTCATGATGAAGTACGACAATTCATGCCCAACTATACTGAAGCAGTCTTGTTTGATGAAGAAGCCGCATCCTTTGTGACTGGTATTGGTTTCCATTGGTATAGACATGGCGCTAAGGATTTCTTCGAGAATTTAGAGCGAGCTCATGAAAATTTCGCTGATAAACTCTTGTTAGGAACCGAAGCCTGTGAAGGTTGGCAACGATTCAGTTCTAGAAGAGGTAAGTTTAGATTTTGTTACACCCGTAAACTTGATGAAAGATTGAATTAGTAGACTTGAATGCTTAATGGTTTTATTTTTTTCATCTGATTATTGAATATTAGCTCAACTCGGAAACTGGACTCGAGCCGAGACTTATGCAGTTGATATCATCAAAGGATTACAAAGATACTCTTCTGGTTGGCTGGACTGGAATCTTGCTCTCAACACCAAAGGTGGACCATCTTGGGCAGAAAATTGGACAGATGGTTTAATTTTAGTCGACGCTGAATCGGCTACATATTATAGAAATCCAATGTTCTACTCTTTAGGTCACTTTTCCAAATTCATTCCACCCGGTTCCATCTACATTGGACACGAAATTCACGGCAATGACACTGGAGTTCTTTTGGCATCTTTCATTGATCCAGCTGATCAAGTAGTCATGGTTGTTCTCAACACTAATGATGAACCAGTTGACTTGGTTGTTGATGGTTTTGCTGAAGCTTCAGTACCAATTAAGATGGATGCTCATTCAATCAAAACTCTGGTAACCCCTAAAGCCCTCGCCTAAGCTTCTAAGTCATTAAAACAAAGCAATTAGCAAAGGTAACCAAAGTGAGATTACATCAAAATGCTGCAAAAATGGCCAATGATCTGTATCCATTATCATCTCTATCTCCAACCCTTTCAATTTCTATCAACATCACCACCTGATTATTAGCTGAACACAGTCATGGTACACGTCGATCATAATTGGAAAGACGTGTCAGTCAAAAATAATCGACAAACCCTTATAACCCGAATAATTTTTCATTTATAAATACATGTTTAGCAACAAACATATGAAAACATTCACCGGCTTTACACCCGGTTTCACTGTAAATAAATAATTTGAAAATATTCATATAAATATATAAATAATTGTATAAACCTGATAGTGAATCAATTTTATTTGAAATTCAATCCTTATTCAGTCGATTATTATAAAATAAATATTAATTTACTCCAATCCAAGCCTTCATTAAAGTACATTAATCTTTATTATTAAATCCCACTCTTAACCACTTTTCCATCGCACAATTAAACTCGGTTTATGTTGAATTTTGTTGTTAAAACAAAACTAGTGGCAATTAAATTGGGTTTGAAACAATTTTTAAATACGCCACCTTCAAACCAATCAGTTGCAGAGTTTTGATTATCCTGCTGTTTATGAATGATTTGATGAATGTTTGTTATGGCTTGATAAGCTGAAACCTCTCGAGTTAAACCTCTCAAATAATTTCAATTGTTTCACGATAAAAGATTTAATCATTTGTGAATGAAATCTGAACAGATTTGGTTATTAAACGCATAGCTACAAGTGCAAATATCCTGTCAATAATTGAAACACAGCAAAATTGTTCGAGTAATTTAATGATCTTCATTACATAAGAAAATGATGAAACTGAATCAAGTTGTTATTTAAGGTTGTTACTAACAAGAAACAAATGTCACATTCATGCAAAATCCACACAAATGGGCAAAAATGAGTGAAAATGAATTTCTTTCTGATTTAAATTCTGTTGGTTTGTAGGGATGTAGAAACTGAATCCATTGATGCGATTAAAAAATTTCTCTGACCAACAGTTGTCGAGAAAATGGAGATCGAAGTTGAAACTTCGATAGTCTTTTGTGCGATCATGGAAGATGATTTTTCTATGAAACTCAGTTTGCAAATGTCATTTTCAATATTGAACCAGAAAATGTACTTACTTTGCGAAGTAAAACTTTTCTTTTTCGGCAAAACAGATAAGTTCGATTTTCTTCTAAACGGACCGATTTCTGTGACCATAAGTGTTAGAAAGCTGAAACTTAATAAATATGCATAGATATTGTTGGTTAACATTATGGGTTAAGTACTTATAACAATTTAATAATAGTGCTCTTGATTTTGGCATTTGATTTTAAAACTTTAAGCTTCGATATTTCGAGAATGACATCACCTACAATCAGTATTCTTTCGCCAATTCAATTCTTTATTAATTGCAAATGCAATTCAATCAAATAATTTTACATTAGTGAACTTTGGGCGTGATATTTAGGCTGTAAATCTGCTAGCAACAGCTTATTCAACAAATAAGACTCAAATAAAAGCATATCTTGCTAAATAAACCACTTTTCTGGTTAAACTTATAACTAAAATGCAAAGAGTGCTGCCAAAGATGCGATCATTTGCGTAAAGAGTTGAAACTTGGTGGATTCGTAGGAACATAAAAAGCTGAATCCATCGGTACTATTAAATAATTGATCCAATGGATAGTTTTCAAGTAAATCGAGGTCAAAGTTTAAACTTTGATCGCTTTTTGTGCAGCAATGGAAGCAGATTTTTTCATGAAACTAACTCTAATGATGTGCATTTATATTAACAAACAGAAAAAGATCTTATTTTGAATATAAATTTTTCTGATTCTGTAAAATCGATAAAAGCGATCAATAGTGCAATACGAAGTTAAACCGATCAGTCTCTGTTAACGCTAGAGTTAGAAGGCTGAAACTTTTAATTAGTCTATAATAATTGTTTGCTCACACCATGGATCAAAAACTTTTTTCAATTTATTACCGATTCTCTCGATTTTGGCCACCGGACTTAAAACTTTGAACCTCAACATTTCGAGAATTCTATCATCTACAATGATCATTCTTGGTCAAACATTAGTTTTCATTATGGCCTATGCTATGTCGAAGTATTAAACCATTCGAGATTCCACAGAAAGAGTTATAGCATCTAATTACTTATGTTGTCAGATTTTAGACTTGATTGATAAAGTTGCATAGTTACTTAACACATATGAGGAATCTTGATAATTAAATGATTCTGTGCAGTTTTTATTCGGTATTCAATCATGTACTGTTATAGCCCATAATAGTATCTAATGTTATGTAAAAGAATGATGGTTGTAGGGGCAATCATTCTCAAAATATCGAGCCTCAAAGTTTTCAGGTCAATGGCCAATATTATGAGAACTATTGATGCAGGGGGAAAAGTTTTTAATCCATGGTGTGAGCAAACAATTATTATAGATCAATTATAAGTTTCAGCCTTCTAACTTTTACGATCACAGAAAGTGATCGGTTTAACTTCGTATTGCGCTTTGATCGATTTTACAGAATCAGAAAAATTTATAGTCAAAATAAGATCATTTTCTGTTTGAGAATGAAAATGCACATCATTAGAGTTAGTTTCATGAAAAAATCTGCTTCCATTGCTGCACAAAAAGCGATCAAAGTTTCAACTTTGACCTCAATTTACTTGAAAACTAACCATCGGATCAACTATTTAATAGTACCTATGGATTCAGTTTTTATGTTCTTACAAATCCACCAAGTCTCAACTCTTTACGCAAATGATCGCATCTTTGGCAGCACTCATTGCATTTTAGTTATAAGTTTAACCAGAAAAGTGGTTTATTTAGCAAGATATGCTTTTATTTGAGTCTTATTTGTTGAATAAGCTGTTGCTAGCAGATTTACAGCCTAAATATCACGCCCAAAGTTCACTAATGTAAAATTATTTGATTGAATTGCATTTGCAATTAATAAAGAATTGAATTGGCGAAAGAATACTGATTGTAGGTGATGCCATTTTCGAAATATCGAAGCTTAAAGTTTTAAAATCAAATGCCAAAATCAAGAGAACTATTATTAAATTGTTATAAGTATTTAACCCATAATGTGAACTAACAATTTCTATGCATATTTATTAAGTTTCAGCTTTCTAACACTTATGGTCACAGAAATCGGTCCGTTTAGAAGAAAATCGAACTTATCTGTTTTGCAGAAAAAGAAAAGTTTTACTTCGCAAAGTAAGTACATTTTCTGGTTCAACATTGAAAATCACATTTGCAAACTGAGTTTCATAGAAAAATCTGCTTCCATAATCGCACAAAAGGCGATCGAAGTTTCAACTTTGATCTCCATTTTCTCGACAACTGTTGGTCAGAGAAATTTTTTAATCCCATTATTGGATTCTGTTTGAATGTTGCTACAAACCAACAAAACTCAAATCTGAAAGAAATTTTTGCAATTTGCAAAAGAAAGAAATGCATTTTCACCCGTTTTTCAATGTTGAGTTAGCAAGACATGATTTTTGTGATCATAACAAACAATGTTTATTGAATCTTTAATAGGAATAATTGTTCAGCTGAAAACCCAGAGAAACAATAATAGATCATACAATTAAATACATTTTACAAAAAAAGTCAATATAAGTTAGGAAACCAGAATGATTATTGATATTACAAATAATATAAGAGATGTAACAAAAAGGTTAATATCTGTTGACTATTACTTCCCAACAACAATTGAAATGATTGTCAAATGGATTAAAATAATGAAAAGATTGCTAGTTAATGAAGAAGATGCATTCAATTTAGATTGTCCTCGAACTCCTCTGTAACCAGGACCAGGACGAACCTCTTCATGGACCGTGGCTGGAACAGATTCATCAGCATAATCCATGGTTTCATGAGTGTATTCAGCCTTTTCTCTGGACTTTTCACGAGGTCGAATTGTTAATGAGCTGGTAAATCGACCAAGATCTCGAGTTGTATCAGGGTAAGTTAACTGTATCAACCCAGTACAAGTGAAGTTCAGATAGCCTGGATGAAGATCCTCTTTACGGGCAATGTACTTTAATCCTAATTTAGAAACCTGAAAATGAATAAAGAAATAGATTATTATTAATATTTAACAGTAACTAGTAACATTGTTCAATAAACAATTGGCCTTTCATTGGGAATTAAGCAACAATAACAAAACAATTCAAGTAAATCAACCATTGTAACTCATTTCTAACCTCACTTGGAACCACGCCAACAGTGATATTTTTAGCTGTTAATAGACAATCAAGTCCAATGGCTGACAGTTGAGGATATTTTCAATTGTTGTTAGAATAAAGCAAATAACAATTAATTATTTACAATCAATCATTAAATTACACAGAAGCGCGTAGTTATTCAATTTTTTCAATCCACCGTTTTTATGTCTCTGTGTAATAACCCAAATATTACATCTTTTGCCTTGAAATTGACAGTTTTATCAATCGATATTTTATGATTTTGTCACAATTCACCTAATAAACGTTTAAAAGTAGATTGGATTTTAAAACTGGCATTGAAATTGACCAAAACTGAATAATTGTCAATTAATATCTTGGAAAGTCTAAGTCTTGGACTTCATGCTTTGAAAGCTTTACAATCGATTAGCCGCTCGATTGTTCAACCTTAAATTTCGTATTTGAATTATTTCAATTTCAATAAAACGAACCAAAAAACAATCAATAATTGTTGGTAAATTGACTTGCAACCATTCTCGACTGGATAGAAGCAACTTTCGTATGAAATAAACCAACTTTAAAGACAGTTTTCACAACAAAACCAACATTCATTGTAATATCACAAGGTTCATTGCAATGAATATGCCAAGAAATCAATTGTGTTATCCTCGGAAATTAAAATTGATTGCAATGAAAAGCTCTTGAAAATTTATCTGAAGTTTATGATCGTAATTTTGAACCGAATTGCATTGTTCGAGAAATGCATTGTTGATTGAATTGTTTCTTAAGTTTATTGCTTCGAGTGACAGAGCTAACAATTGAAAAGATTGAAATTAATTGCAGAAAGATGCTTATTTTAAAATCGTCACACAAATTATGATAGCCTTAGAATGATTAACTCCTCTGAAAGAAAATTTACATTGCGTTAAATTGTGAGTGACAATTTTCGCAAATCGAACAAAATAAAAGTTTCAACTTGCAATTAAACTAAATAGACTTTGATTGTCAGCGAAAATCTTTGAAGGATTGATCTTAGCAAACGAATGTAATGTCAAATGTACTCAGCACAATGTAATTAAATACCAAGAAGCTAAACTTACGATACTGTGATTTCAGATCACAGTATTGATAAGATTTTTGGACTATCATAATAGCTATCAAATGTTATTGCCAACTTTGGATGATCTATTCCTGGCGATCGAGTAATCAAATCTAACTATTGAATTACACTTGGTTTCACATGTTAGTTAACTGGTTGTGATTGTTGGAAACTTGGAACAAAAGTCAGTATGAAGTCCGTATGAAGTCATCATGAGTTCGGAGTTTAGTTTAATTTTCTTTGAATGGAAATGTTTCGTTTTTTAAAACCTAAATTATGTAAATTATGAGGAGCTATTGTACTAATATATACGATACATGCATAACAATCAAGGGTTTGGAAACCAATCCCAGCTAATTTATGATAAAGGTTTATCGTAACATCTCATAACGTTTTTAATAAACCAAACAAACGGCTTGTCACAGCAAAGTGTTTGTATGATTGGATTCACACAACGGCGATATCATGAATTGTAATGTGGGCGATGTAAGTTATATTACAATTTAAGGTTTAATATGTAGCCAACAATTGATATCATTGACTTTCATATACAGAAATAATGACAGTTAACTTTCGCGAGAAGGATGTTTGCTAAAAAGGCAAAAATAGCCTTCTGTGTTTACAAAAGAAACGACAAACAGGTTTCATTAAATCTGACGGGATCTTGAATACTGATTATTACCGATGAAATGCTAGCTAAAAGTAACGAACAGTTGATTTATAACAATATTGGAAACACTTTGGTAATGAAGTGGCCGTGTTGTAGCCATTGAGAGATGACAAACCTTTGTTAAATCCGATTGAGTTGTCACAGATGAAGTTGACAATTCACTTTGATCAGCGAGTCGACCATTAATTAACCAAGATAATTTGGTGGCGGGATAAGTTGCAGCTGAAACACACATTAAGTCCATCTTTTTTAAATTACGAGATGGTGGATCTTCAATTAGAATGGGATCTCTTGTTTGCGGCACTGAATACACTCTAAGTTCACTTGAGTTTCTTCTTGTATAAAATGAAGGTCCACGACTCTCAACTTCACAAGTAAATGTACCTTCGGTTGGAATATCGACAGAGTTTAGATAAAGATGAGTTAAATTGGATAATCTTTCATTGATTCTTAATCCAGGTGTTCGGAAAACTTCCCTCTCAGAGTCAATATCAGATGGTTTATAGCGATAGATTTTTGAATCATCCTTTTTCCAGGTTACTTTGTAAATATTTTCCGTGTACAAATCAGAGATACAAATGAGAGTGGCCTGAGAACCTCTTTCAACGGCTGAAGGCGCATAGACTAACACTTGAAAAGCAGCAGCAAGAGGAATCAGTAAAGTAATTAAGCTCGCAACAATTAAACAGTTAAACACAGAGTTGAACATTGTTGGGAATCAAGTCTTTCAAATAAAGTATAAAAACAAAGGGAAACACAAGCTTAGTACAATTTGGTTGAAATGATGATACATTTCCAATGCGATTAACTTATTTTTGTCTGCCAAGGATTTTTAGAGGAAGATGTTGAGGATGATGAAGATGATGAGGTAAACTAGGGTGGGAGAAAGTAAGTGAGTGGTGAATAAGATGCTGAAAAAAGATGCGGAGGAAGACTGATGAAGATTGCATGAGATGAACACAGAAAGGTTTGTAAATCGACATGAATTATGAATAATCATGATTACTCACTGAAAAATTTACAATTTATTATCAAACCTTATTCTTCCCAATATAAATCATTGCTTTCTCTATTACAATTTGAGATGATTATTCAGTGTTTATTTGTAATTTAAATAGTAACATTTAGTGGCGTCTTATTTGTTATAGATGTTTGTGAACAATGGCCTTGATTTCAACCAATGAACTTTTCACAATCGAATTCTCTAGATTGAAGAAACACCTTAATATCAATTGTATGCCTCCTTTACTAACCCTTTTTCATGGGAAAATTGATGAGTATGTTTCAATAAATGTATTCAATAGTTGCTTTCAATGATTGTAACCCACCTTTGTTCACATTTCATCAGTGGGCTGACTTCATTTCTCTCTGTCTTAATTAAATGGTTTATTAAAGTAGTAAATCATAGATGGTTCAAACATAGGCAAAGGGTTTTCTTCACGGTTAATGAAATACCTTTCTTACACCTACTTAACTTACGCCGAAATCAGTGAGAAATTTAACAATATTTGCCTTAAAAGGACTTTTACTCAACCTATCAGTTTAACGAGACTACTTTGTTTTCAGCCCTTTCATTGTTTTGAACTAGGTTTTTCTGGGAAACACCAAAATCAGTAAATAACTAACATAAAATGTAAGCCATAACCTTATTTTTATTTCATTTTACAGTTACTTATGGAAATTAGTTTTACTTGAAATAATTAGATTCGTATTAATATTAAATGAATTCCCTCGTGTCATGAGCAATGAAAAAATCTTTGTTTTATCAAAACTTGAAATAGCTGTAACCATTGAACTAGAAGGCAACGGGTAATATGGGGCAACTGGCAAAATTAACAGGCTGTAAATCCTCCGTCGATGGGTAAAATAACTCCGTTGATCATGGCTGATTTATCACTGAGAAGATAAACAATCGCGTCAACAACATCGTCAATATCAGCAAATCTCCGAAGAGGAATCCTTTCCATCATCCATTGTCGTTTAATTGGATCAGCCCATCCTCTTTTCCCCATTTCAGTTTCAACGACAGTTGGGTTAACTGAATTACATCTTATATTGAAAGGACCCAATTCAAGGGCAGAAACTCGAGTGATTTGATCAACAGCTCCTTTTGATGCACAGTAGGCAACATGATCTTGTAGAGCAACCATTCCAGCTTGACTCGAAATGTTCACAATAGATCCTGGTTTGCCAGCAGCTTTCAATTTTTTAACCACTTCTTGGGTAACATTGATGATCGATTTGACATTGATGTCAAAATGCCTAAAAAATCAAGAGATATAAACATTAATAGCTGGAAATTTTGAGGAATCAGGATTACTTACAAATTACAAGTCTGTTCATCAACTTCCCCAATTGGATCAAGTTTAGCATAAGCGGCATTATTGACCAACAAATCAATTGTATCCAAGGAAGCTACAGCTTTTCGAGTTTCTTCCCAATTTGCAAGATCACATGGTACGATTTCAATCTCAGGAAGCTATTGAAGTATATTTTTGGAGGACAAAAGGTCATTTAAATAAATTTACAAAACAGTCATCTACTAACCTCTGCTTTAAGCGATTCAAGATTCTCCTTGGTTTTACTTAAGGCTACCACAGTTGCTCCAAGCTTGACGAGTCTTTTAACAATGTCTCGACCGATTCCTAGTTAAATCAATTCAGACATTAATACAAACAAAGTCAAGTTGGTTGATGAATGATTTCTTACCTCTTCCGGCGCCAGTGACAAGAGCACGTTTCCCTTTGAATGAAATGTCCATGGCGTTTATTCAATTCAATAAATAGTTGGACAGTGGCAAGTGATTTCACTTTGAGTAGCTTGAGTTGTGATTCGAAATGTAACAGGTGTAACAAGTTTCAATTTAAACTTATATATGTCCTTGATGATTACGATGGAAGATTATCTCAAGTAATTAATTATCAGGGCTTTTCATTTTCTTTGCAGTCATATTTTTTATCAAAACAGACAAGATATGATAATCATTTTACTTTTCTCTTTTTAAAAGTGCTTCTGTAGTGAACCCGTGATCATTCATGGTTTCTACCGTTATTGATACTAATTGAAGTTGTAAAACTAAAATTTTGTAATTTATTTTCTCAATTTTACGCTTAATAAAACGAAAAACATTGATCTTCATTTATGATACTGAATTAGTGCTATTTTTAATATATTGAAACGATTTTAACAACTGATACAGTTCAATTTCATTTTGATTGGAGTCCACATTGATTTAGCCATTGGATCAATGTATATCAGTCTATAAATGAATTGGTCGACTTCCGTAGCCAATGTCATTCACCACACGTACGGGACAAAAATTGATTCGGGAAACTTCCAAGTGATAGATATTTTTCGGGTGGAAGTAAACATAATTTTTTTAGATTCTAGAACTGCTATCTGAATGAATGAAAAGCAATGTATTATAAGATTCGTATTCAAACTTAAATATAAATTTTAAAGCAAAACATAGCGTCTCATAAAAATTTGATTTTGCAGAATAGGGAACGACATGAGAACAAGAAGTAGAGCTTTCATGTAGCATAAACTGCCTTAAAAATTGAAAGGCAAGCTAAATATACAGTAGATACATACTCAGGTTATCATTGATATCCTCATTGATCAAGTATGAAAAAATATCATCCATTTAATTAACCTGGAAGAAAAAATGTAAGACTCAGTTAGTACCATGCAATCAAACAAAATAGAAAGACGGCGTGGATGGCCTAATTAATTTAGCATAGTCATAAGGTCCAATCCGATTTAGGATCGGTCAAACTAAGAATTATGTCTATGCAAAGATAATCTTGGCGGAAGAATGCTAACTTACCGTATGAATTTATCACAGAAATAAGTGTTCTGTAAACCAAATGATACATTCTGTATAACAGTTAGGATTATGATTTTGATTCGTCAAAAAATTACATAATCTATCGTAGAGATTGTAACAATTCATTTTGACCATACGTTGACTCTGAGACTGCCACCTGGATGAATGAAAAAGAAATGTGTAATAAGATTCGTATTAAAACTCAAATAAAAATTTTAATGCAAAGCATATCGTCTCATAAAAATTTGATTTTGCAGAATAGGGAACGACATGAGAGCAAGATTTACAGCTTTCATGTAGCAAAAACTGCCTTAAAATTATAAAACAAGCTAGATACATACACAGATTCTCACCGACATCCTAATAGAGCAAGTTGAAAAAATATCATCCATTAAATTAACCTGAAAGAAAAAATGTAAAACTCAGTTAGTACCATTCAATCAAATAAAATAGAAAGACGGCGTGGATGGATTAATTAATTTAGCATAGTCATAAAGTCGAACTCGATCCAGGATCGGTCAAACTAAGAATTATGTCTATGCAAAGATAATCTTGACGGAAGAATGCTGACTTACCGTATGAACAAGTATTCATGTAGCAAATCTGCCTTGAAGATGATACAAAAATTGAGACAGAAATTTGTTTAATATCAGATATGATAAACAAAATGCGGCTCTTCATGATCACCCAAGGATGTAATATACCAGAGTCCTAATTACATGACCATCACGTTAACTTGTTGACGACGTTGAGTTGAGTAAAACTACTACATTCAGATGGTAGTATGGTGATGGAAGCAGGTTAACTGTAGCAGGGACACTAGATGACAGTGAAAATGAAATGGGTACATTGGCGACTGAGGAATGAAGATGAATTCTTGGAAGGTAATAACGATCTTCTTTGACGATTACGTTCACTAACAAAACTGCATATTTCCGCAACTAAATCAACAGTTTTTATAGTTTCTAGACTTAAAAATTATCAACTTCCGAAAAAGCAATTTGCAAAAAAACAAACACGCTTTTAAGATTAGATTAATGCCCTCTATACTCATAAGTTGTAATGTTATGTAATGGCGGTTATATTGTTTCAATTGTCTGATCATTATGAATTGTATAATATTATAATTAGCTAATTTTAAATTCTTTCTTCCTCTTAAACAAAATGAAGTTTTTGCCAATATTTGAACAAAACCATAACTTAACCCTATTACAAAGACCAAGGACTATAAAGATCCGAAACATGTTTTTCTGTGTTCAACGATTTGTAACATTTTCGGGTTCAAAGTGTGCAACTTTTGGGTTATTCTGGCCATATTACAATAAGCATCATTTAATAGTCGATTTTACCAAAAAATGTCTAATTTCTGTTTCGAGAAATTTCTTTCTTTATGCTTTCCTGGACAAAACTAACGATGATATGATCTATTAGATTGTCCAGCGCAGTTAACCTCGGATGGATCTAATATGTTGGAAAGCAGTTTGGTCTGGACATTGGAATCGTCTTTGGGTCAATTTCTAGCATAATTATAAATGAATATCAGTTATTAATAATAATGTTTATCATAAGGTTTAATGATTCTCCTTCACATGAAACCGGTTCGTTGAGACCAGAATTTTGAGCCTCAAAGTTTACCAAGCAAATTACTTAATTCAAGTGTAATATTTATGAACGATAAATAAGACAAATAAAGCCTGTAGCTAATTAAATTGAAATTAACTCCTCCTGCAGATTGTTGTTTCTCCCTCTTACAATTTAAACGAAAAATGACAAAATAAAATGTGATTCAAACTGGTCAATATCATTTAATCTTTGACTACAACTCAGACCAATCTCACAATTTAACTGTTTTATAAATCATCATGAGATTATCAAACAATCTTGCCATCGCTTTAATTGTCGCTTTAATCATTTTTATTGTGTCTGTTGATTGTTCTAAAAAAAGAAATCGATATCGAAGTAAAAGACCAAAAGGAACCTGTAACCTATCCGAGTTGGACAAATGTCTGGACAGGCTGGAAGGTAACAGGACCGATACTTATAAATTGCTGAAAGATAGTCATGGATTGAATGAGATTTGCAGGTAAGTTATCAAATTACTTTTACTTTCATAATTTCCATGAAATCTTCATTTTCAAGTCTAATAGTCTTAAAATTGATTTGATTAACTGTCATCTTATATGCGCTTTCAACAATTTCAAGACAATAATAGTGTAAATTCAATTCACCATATTGATTTTAATAACGTTGTTCTGTGTTTGTTTACCGTTTATTTGCAATTCAATGCTTGTTTGTTTTGTTTGATTGTCCTCGAACCAAATTATGATTTTGATTCTTTATCCAAATATCTTAAATGATACTCAAAACAATGTCAAGGTATTTATCTGATTTTGATTGTGATCATGGTCGTATACGGAAGCTAAATCAAGTAAATTTATATTACTCGGTAAAATTTGGATAAATTTTCTCTTGACCTAATCAAACTTTCTAAAATTAAACATTTTCAGATCAAACCTTCAGAAAAATCTTTCACCATTAACACTTTCAATTAATCTTTTGAATCAACTGAAAAGATTTGGGAAATAAAAATTAACCAACAATTTATTTGCATAATAAGATTTGATCAAACTATCAATGATACTTTACCAGAAATATCGGTTAACCCAAATAATCGAGATTTTTTAGGATCAGATAATTGTTACTTTGTAATTGATACTTTTGTCTGGTCAAAGTTGATTTCAATTTGCCCTTACTCATTGTCTATCTTTTTCTGTCTGTTAATCTTTTCTGTTAGGCTTCATTATTTTTCTCTAATTGCAATTAAAATATGTTAACTAAATAAGATTATTAATAATTGTTTTGTTAATTTTAATATTCATTACAGTACCGTTCAAGAAACTATCTCTTGTTTCAAACAGTATGTTGAGAGATGTGGTACGCCATTACAATACGAGCTTTTTGATTTCACTTTGGAATACTTCACCAAATCTATTGATAAATTCTGTAAGCCTGGACCAGATAGAGATGGTAAGTCATTAATTGACAATTTGTTTTGCTATTAAACAGTTAAAGATGCATCTTCAAGGACAGAAAAAAAACGATTTTGTGTATTGAATGTTCTGGTAGATTCCATTGTCTTTGTCCATTTGTTTTTACATAACTTGTTTTCTCGCGGAAATGTGAAATTTATTTGATTTTAAAATTTCTCTAATTGATTTATGATTTGTTTATTTTGAATGATTTTAGCTTTCTTGAAACACTCACCATGTGCTGTTGAAAAGGTACTTGGAACCCAAGAGACAAAGAAAACATGTAACAACCCTTTTTTGGCAACGATTGAAAAAAGTGATAAAAACAGCAGTCTCGATCATCGTCTGGATTCTGTTTGTTGTTCATACAATAGATGGGAAGATTGTTTAATGACGTGAGTATTAATATCATTAAGATAGACCTATTGGAAAATTGGAGATCCTCATCACTCAAGTTATTAATTGTGTGGCCAGACTATTATCAACTAACATCGTTATTCAACAAAACTATCTATTAGTATTTACTTATTTGAAGATTTTACCAAGGACAATTATTCAATTTCTTTGTATTTGTAATTGTTAATTGACAATCCACTCAGCCTGAGGTATTTTTTAGTGCAAAAAAACTCTATACTATGTAGATTTTTCTTTGAGTACTTCAATACGACGACAAAATGACAATTTTTAATGCTTACTGTTGATAGAGTCATGGGTTTTTAAAAGATTGAGCCCTTGGAATGACTCTGACTTATTTTCCCATGCTTACACTGAATTTTTCTTATTTGATTATTGACTTTGCAATGTAAATTAATCAAATTTTATCTTTTCTTACAGATCAATCGAGAAAGAATGTGGTAAGGATGGAAGAGAATCGATATTCAATTTCTTGGACAAAGCTTTTGCAGGTATTAATATGCATAATTTTGATTAGTTTTATTACAGTAATTAGCCTGGTTAATACTAGTTTTACAGCAATGGAGACTGATCAACATGAATATGCAAATTGGCATTGTTTGAATATCAAACTAAAATTTATTCCACTTTATTTTTATTCAGGTTTGATTCGAATGGTCTGTAACCATGATGAGTTTAACTACAAACTGGATAAATGCAAGGCAGTCTTCGCTCCTGATGGTGTCGAAGTCGATTTACGTACAACTGAACATCCATTTTTAAAATACCTTGCATCTTACTTTGGTTTCCTATTCAATTAATTTGAAACCAATGACACAATGTGATTCATCTTTTTTTTGTTGAAAATATTCGTCATCCAATGTTTTTTATTTGTTGATTTCACCTGTCATTTAATGGGGAAAGGTTTATCTTTAGTCATTATTAATTGTACACAAAATTGTTCTCAATCAAATTAATAATACGTTAATAAATTAATAAGTGATTAAGTATGTGACTCGTCTATTAATTTATACTTGAAACATTTTAGCGCGAAACAATACAAATCAAATGAAAATAATATTCCGCCAAAAACCTTATTTTGTCTATAGAGGGCGCTATTTAAAGAAAATGAAAAATGGGCGTTGAAAAAACCGAAACAACGGAAGCTGTTCCTCTTTATTGTGTTTAAAAAATATTTTCATTGCATCATAATAAAGCATCAAAATGGTTTTTTCCATCAAAATGAATTTTTCCAAAGTGTTGAATTTAGTTAATCACAGTCACAATAATAATAGTAATAATAATCAAAGCCATAGCCATAATCAGGGTAATAGTAGCTCCAGCAGTTTGAGCACAAATAATCATAGTAGTAGAAATGAAAATGTGATCAGTGGACGTAACCATCAAAGGAGATCAACTCGCCATAGTCGTTATCTTTCGAGAAATCAACTCCATTCTGCAGCTGCCAATGTATCTATTTCACCTCCACCACCACCACCACCATCTAGTAACCTTCATCCAGTTAATTTGCCACCCACAACACATAATTTAACTTGTGCAAACAATGGTAGCCTGGGTAGCTCAACATCACCAATAGGATTACCAGAAGGTTATGAAATGCGGATTGCTCCTAAAGGTCAAGTCTACTTCCATCATGTACCGACATCAAAGAGCACTTGGCATGATCCTAGAGTCCCTCGTGAATTGTTAAATCAAAATTTTGATCTAGATAAATTGGTTGGTAAACTTCCAAGTGGATGGGAGATACGTACTATATCTTCAGGTGATCATGAAAGAGTATATTTTGTGGACCACAACCGTAAAACAACTCAATTCACAGACCCAAGACTTGTTGCCAATCCTGATATACTTAAAAAAATTTTAAGGTAAGATGTTAACCATGATCTTGATGCTCTTTTCTCAATCTTTTATTGAGAATTACCAGACTGAATTATTTATCTATCAGTGGCTCTATACTCTCTCATTCTTTATTGCTTTTTTTGCTTTTCTCAATATCATACCATACTGACTTACTAATTCAAGATCATGCGAATTATTGCAGAAACAAGAAAATGAAAGTGAAAATTTTATAATAAGCCTTACAGTCATGTATTTCTCGAGGCTATTCTCTCATTAATATTTTAACTCACTCATTAATATCAGTTTGCCTTGATTTTACATGAATTCAATAGTTTGATACTATTTTCATTTTACTTTTTCTTTTCTCCATCAAACTGTTCCTGGATTCACTTCCTTAATTTTTGAATTTGTTTACATATTCGTTTGTTTCACCTGATATCCTATTTATTTTTGTTTAGTGAAATTTAAATTATCAGGAGTCCAATTCGTAATCGTGAATCCTTTTAATTTATGTCTTTGCTCGCTCCGATGTGTATCTATGTAAAATGCTAACTGAATACCATTTTTTTGCTTCATTTCCCTCCAGAGAACGACCTAATCTCTGTTATGCTAATGTTGAAAAGACTCCGAAGCATAGTGGAAGATCTTCTAATGGAGCTGATCCTCACATATTCAGAGAAAGCTGCAAAAGAAAAAATTTGGTGCAAAAGATGGCTGGTTTAAGACAAGAACTTCAAGAAATGCAACCTCAAACAGGACATTGTCGCCTTGAAGTCTCCCGAAAGGACATTTTTGAAGATTCATATCGTGCTGTTATGAAGAAGAAACCAAAAGATTTAATGAAACGGTTGATTGTTACGTTTAAGGGGGAAGAAGGATTAGATTATGGTGGCCTTGCCAGGGAATGGTTATATTTATTATCGCATGAAATGCTAAATCCACAGTATGGACTTTTTCAATATACCCGCGAAGATGTGTATACCTTACAAATCAACCGCGACTCTTCCGTTAATCCGGTAAAATTTATACTTAAATTTAATTTGTGTGAAATTTATTCAATTACACGGCATTCTAATGAATTATTTGGTTTTTCTTTCATCAACTATCCAGGATCATTTGACATATTTCCATTTTGTAGGAAGGATTATTGGCATGGCAATTTTCCATGGTCATTATATAGACGGAGGATTTACCTTACCATTTTACAAAATGCTTTTGAATAAATCAATAAATCTCGAAGATATTCAAGTCGTAGATCCTGAACTATATAGGAGTCTTTGTTGGATGCTGTAAGTAATCAGCTATATCGATGCTTCATCATAAATATTAGATTGATTAGAAAATTTTGTACCGAAATGCACTTTTTTATTCTTCAATGTCACTTGTAAGTTTGGTTCATTTGTGCGGGCAAAATTTTCTGATCAACTCATATTTAGATTATGTTGAAAATTTTTCATACTAAACTTGATAAAACTGTGTCATGTTTGATTACAAATTTATTCTAATTAATTCTTTTATGAATTGCAGTGAAAATAATTTGAGCGGCGTATTGGAAACTACTTTTAGCGTTGAACATAACTCTTTTGGTCATTTACAAGTTCATGAGTTGAAACCAAATGGAAAAAACATACCTGTTACAGATGAGAATAAACGTGAATATGTTAAGTTATACGTTAATTATCGCTTTAGACGAGGTATTGGACAACAATTCCATGCATTACAGAAAGGTCTCAACGAATTAGTGCCTACGAGTTCACTCCAAATATTTGATGAAAAAGAATTAGAGGTAATTTTTTATTATTTAGATATTGATTTATTGATATCGATAATATTTATATTGATATTTATTCCAAACCTTCTCTAACTGTTATTTTCTTCTTTATTTGTGATCTTCAGCTTGTTATCAGTGGTTTGGGTAATATAGATATAAATGATTGGAAGTCAAACACTAGGCTCAAGCATTGTACACCCGATACACCCGTTGTTAAATGGTTCTGGCAAGCAGTTGAATCGTATGCAGAAGAAAGAAGAGCTCGCCTATTGCAATTTGTTACCGGTAGTAGCCGAGTGCCTTTACAAGGTTTTAAAGCCCTTCAAGGATCTACTGGAGCATCAGGACCCAGACTATTCACGATCCATCTAATTGAAGCAAGTTCTGATAACCTGCCCAAAGCTCATACCTGCTTCAATCGTATCGATCTACCTCCATATGAAACTTATGAGAAGTTATATGAAAAATTGACTCAAGCAATAGAAGAAACGTGTGGATTTGCTGTTGAATGAACAACTTAATCGTGTTTTAACATTGGATGAAACGTACCATACAGAGCCAAGCATGACGACCAAATCATATTGACTTTTCATTGACTGTCTTCAAAATTCGTTACCAAGTTATTCATCCGCCTTTTGTTGAGACTGCCTTGTATTGCATTTCATTCATCTTACTCAATTTTTGATTTTTTAAAAATTGAGATGAATCAAGACTGGTGCCTGTTGCATTCACATTATTATTGACATTATTAACACTATTATCACTATTACTCACATTAACCTGCTTATGGTTACATTATGTTAGCTCAGTAAATTGTGATGATGTGTTTGGTGATTTTGTTTTACGCATTTTGGTTAAAGCTGTGCTTTTACAAAACATAATGAGTGTTTTTTTACTATGATTACAATTATCAAAATATCGTAACCCGTGTTTCAGTTTATACTTAAAACTGTGGGGTTTAAACACTTGTGTATAAATGCAACTTAACTTAAAGACTTATCAAGACTTAATTATCATGTTAAAAAAATCTTACCGGCTGAAACTCTATCATTGGAACTGCAATTGATTAAATTGTATATGGGTTGTGAAACAATCACTCATTATGCTCTTGTAAGAGTCACATAAAACATATTACGCTACCGACTTCACATAATACTTGCTACCAGAAAACTGTATCTTCCTTCCCTCACCCTGTTTAATCTGTTATGCAAAGCACTCACTCGAAATTTTTATGCACTCAGCTCATGACTTCCCAGTAACTTGGATAAGATGAAAGAAAAATCTGTGATGTCTCATGATGATTTTATTGATATTATTAGAATTATTGTGATTAATGTACTGGTTGTTGAAACAAACAAAACAAAGCAACAATTTTACCTGAAGATGCTACTTCAAATTCTGATCCCGAGTTAACTTCTTAAAGTATTATAGATCTCTTCTTTTACCTGTCTTTCCTCTTCCAATTATTTCTCTCACCTTCTCTTCTTATCAATGTGATTTTTCCAAATGATTTATACGGATCATCTTTTCTCAATTAATCCCTGCCCTCACTTTATTAAGTGTAAAAATATTAATAAAAGTTTACAAACTTTAACTTTATCAAAACCTCAATTTTATCAACATTGACGATCCATGAATTCACATTCAAAAATCACCGCAGTTATTGAAATACAAGTCTGAAAAAACAAGACATGGCATAGACTGGTTTCTATGGATTCAAATATTTCTTGAAACAAAACAAATCACGTAACCTTACCTAATACACACTTGGAATCATTAGCTAATTGTTGACTTAAGCAAAAATATTACATTCTAAGTTTATAATACATC